CGAGATTCTCATTTGTTTTTAATTTATTTTGACAAAACATATTAGGAGACAATTCCAGCACTGTAATAATACTGGCTTTGGCATCAGTTATCCATTTTGATACTGTTTTTTAATCTCAGTTTGTCCCATTACTTGGAGCAAGTAGCTTAACTTCTAAGCCTCAGGTTGTTCATAGAGGAGGAATAACAATATAGCTAATATATCTAATGTCATTTTAAGCAGTTAGCAGTATTAGTCTCACTTCATCCTCAACAATCAATGAAGTGACATTCTTAATTGCTTTAGCACTTCTTACATGTTGCAAGGATTTAATATGGTTTTTTAATTAATATAGCTTAACATTACATGTTAATCCACATTTTGATTTGAGTACATATTACTTTTTCCTTTTATATATAATGTTTTGTGCAAATAATTTTCCTCTTGTAAAGAGAAAGGTAATTCACCACACGGGGGAGGGAGGATTAAAGCTGAAATGGTACAAATGGCTAGACCTTAAGAGAAACTTTCAAACTAAAATGATTGAAATGTTCACTTAGAATAAAGATACATATAAGTACTGGATGTTTTTCAGTTTGATTTAAAAAATAAAGATTGTGAAGCCTTCACTCATGATATATTCTCAAACCCCTAACTTTGTCATTCAACTGTTTCTATTGACCCCATTCAATCCAAAAGCCTTACAAGTCTATACAAATAAAGTGACTGATTTTCTAAGTGGTACATATGCACTATAGGTAGGAATATTGTGCATATGGATATAGTCAACAGTATCTGAATGCTCAAGCTACCTATTGTTTCTCTGTTCACTGCCATATAGTGGGATTCACGCTGAACCTGTACACAGTGGAACAAATGCTGCTTTTGTCCTTTGCTATCCATCCCCGTGATCAATAAGCTGCAGATCAAATCATTGTGATACACTTGTTTTAGTATCATAGCAACACACAAGATACAAACTTTCAGGAAAAGTAGGATGAGCTGCATTGGCTTTTGATCCAAGGGTGGTCTCCCACCAGGAAAGATAGATTTATGAGGTTGCCAATCCCTGGGTTGGTGGTTCACACCCACGAACTGTTCAATGGGAGAAAAGTGAGGCTGTCTGCTCCCATAAGGATTTATATCCTGGAAAACTATGTGCCCTCTAGGTTCACTATTAGTCGGTTCTCATTGGCAGTGGGTTGGTAGGTGAGTGTGGGACCACCACTGCCTCCTACCCAATGGGTTCATTTAACTACTTACTTTTTATTATAAATTAGGTAGCAGAGTTCTTCATCTTTTAGTTACTATTTTTAGATTTAGGTGTGAGGATTTAAAGAACAATGGAGAATTTACCCATAAAAATATGTATGAGCACATAGATTGCCTACAACAATTTCAAGGTATTCACAGATCATTTGGTGACTAAACTAACATAGATTCTCCCCAGTACCTATTATGCATTCCTTAGCCTCTCCTTCACTTTGATTGGGGCAGAAAAGCAGGGGGACAATGAGACAAATTTTAATTAACAGAAAATGAAAATATTTTTTGAAAGTTACATATATTTTTTATTTCGTTGGTGGCTCTTAAACAGCTTATTACATTTACATTCCACACATCAGTTGTATCAAGCATATTTGTACATGTTGCCATCATCATTTTCTAAACATTTACTTTCTGTTTGAGTCCTTTGTATCAACTCCTCTTTTCCTTCTGCTCCACCCCCCACCCCTTGATAAATGGTTTTCACAGTTAGTATTTTTAAGCAATGATTTATTTTCCAAGTTTATCTTACTGCTCTCTATAGCTATTGGGGAGCAGGAAGAGGCAGGGAATAAGAACCACAAACTTTAAAGGTTTATCTTTGTTTTCCTGTTGATCTAATACAGTGCTTTCATTTACCAAGCAATTCATGCATACATACTGCCTCGATTTGGCCACTGTCCTTGGTGATCCCAGGTGCTTAGCAGCATCAGGTCATGTTGATTCCAGAGTTTTCTATGGTTGATTATTTTTAGTGCTCGAATATCTCTGAGGTATGCCTGTATTTTCCCATGATTAAATAGGCTAAAATAACTGTGTGGGTTGGGTTTGTGTATCTGTCCTTGATAAGAAACAGTATTAACATTTCATAACACTAATATTTATCATTTGAGATACAATTCCCCAGGATGAACGAGGTGGCTCATCCATATACACATTCGCATTACTTTCCATATTATATTAGCAGGAACTCATAAGTCCCTCTGTGAATTCTAAACAGACTATTTCATTGAATAAACAATGGTCTTAACATTTCTTACAAGCTCCAAACTTGTTACATTCAGGAGTCTGTCTAATTTGCTGTTTCTCTGGAATCCTCAAATTACTTCTGCCCTCCTTCCTTTCAGGTCTCAGTTTATGTAACACTATTCTCTTAACCTGGGTTAATATTACCACAGCATACTACTTCCTTGTGTTTATTGAAAGTTTGCCATACTAGCTCTAAAAATTTTTATGAAATCAGGAACTTTGCTCATCTCTTTACTGCTGTATTCCTAACTGCTAGCAAAAATACTGGAGTAGATTGTTGTGTGCTCTGTGAAGTTGATTCAAATTCATAGCAACCCTATAAAACTGCCCTTTAGGGTTGTGTTTATGGAAGGCTAATTGCCACATCTTTCCCCAGAGTGTAGTGAATTCAAAACTCTCAATTTTTGGTGAATAACTGAGCTCTTAACCATTGCATCATCAAGCTTCCCCAAAGCATAGTCAGCACATAATATTTGATGGGTTTTGTGGTTTTATAAGGTTTTTTCATGCCTCTTATAAGTTAAAACAAGTAGGTGTCCCTCTGTTTCATGGGGGTTTGTTATTATTTTTAATCCTTGAACTTCATATAGTGCTTGGCAAAACCCCAAAACCAAAGTTATTGCCAGAGTTGATTGTGACTTGAAAGGTCCTAGTGTGTGCCAGTAGAACTGTGTTCCAAAAGATGGTGGTTTCAAATTTTCAAAAGTAGGGCTCTAGGTCTTTCTTGCAAGGCACAACTTAATGGACTAGATTAGCATTCAAGCTTCTTAACTGTTTATACCACTCAGAGCCTCCCATGAACACAGGGTAATTATACTTAATAAATATGGGACTGTTAAGAATTGTGGTTATCAGTTAAATATATCTTTTCAAAATGAGAAAACAAATTAACTGGATTTTCATATTTGCAGATAGACAATTGTGACTGGAAAGCCAGCTACTCGTAATTTATAGTTTTGTTGAGACATTCTGTATAGTATCCAACAGAAGTCAGTTAATAAGTTTTTGTTACTGTTAGTTGCCACTGGGTCTACTCCAAATTATAGAAACATTTATTAAACAAAAATAGTGACACTATACTATTGTCTCTCTATATATCTTTAATACAACTTGTAGAGACAGTATTTCCATCTCTTTAATCCTTCCCTGAAGAATTCTGTACTCCTCGATTTACACTATGTCAGAACAACAATTTCTGTGAGGTATGCCTATATTTTCCTATGATTAAATAGGCCAAAATGATAGTGTGTGCATGTCCTTGATTAGAAATAATTAACATTTCATAACACGTAATTTCATCATTTGAGATAAAATTCCTCAAGGTGAGTTAGGTGGCCCATCCCTATACACATTCACTTTATTTTCCATTTTAGCAGGAACTCATTATAAGCCCCTTTTCTGAATTATAAACTGGGACTTACTCATTCAAGAAATAATGGTCTAGGTGGCTTTAAAGCAGCAGTGTTGAAATCCTCAAGGGACTCAAATCATGTTTCTTCTATATATTGTGTTTGGGAAACAAAGTCTGAAGGGACATAGATGGGGCTGTGGGAAGAATAGGGTAAGGTTTCCCGACCAAATTTTCATAGGCAGACCTTGCCACCCTGGAAAAATGGGTGAATGAGTTGCCTGATGGGAAAAATCCTTATTGCAGCTTTCCTGGCGTTTTTTCCTTGAGAGTGCAGTTTCTAATTTTCTCCAACCCTTTCACAATAAGCCCCGATGATTATCTTGTGTCCTTCAAGAAAATCTTAAGGTTTACTTACCCCGTGGGGATCCCAAACGAGACAGGTTACTTGACTTTCTGACATGACCTTGCTGCCTTGGATTTAATTGGCCTGGCAGATCCCCCTTGGAAAGCACTTATTTTCATTGAATTTTTCTATTTTAACTTTTTGTAAATTAGGGTGGGGGGTTACGTTTCAAACTTTTTGTTTTGAAGGCACCCTCAGAAGACTTGAGGCAAATGTATTAGTGAACTTGTTTGCAGAAATGACATTTTGTTTGAAATAAACTCATAAAAACTGGAACACAGTAGCAATACTTTGCGACTTGCCCTCATAAAAGTCAATTATTTAGCAAGTATTTTAGGATTGACTTGTGAAGGATGTAATGCGGAATATTTAATATACTTATTGAGCACTGACTGTGTGACACTGCGCTGGGTCCTGGACTGGCCCAGAAAGTTGAGTTAGTAGAACTGCCCTCATGGTTTTCCCGACAATCCTGAGGGAAGCTGACTTATCTTTCTCCTGAAAAAATAGTGACCTTTCTGGTTCCTGCCCTGCGCTTGATTTTTATGCCTCCAGGGGGTGTGTAAAATGTTTCTAAAGTCGGTTATTAATTGAAATCCAATTAAGTAACTAACAGAGGCTTTCATGAGAAACAATGGAGCCCTGGTGGCACTTGTCAGGTGAGACTGTTTCCTTCCGAAATGATTCACAAAGCTTCAGAACCCCCATATAAGGTCACTGTGAGTCGGAATCAACTCAATGGCCTTGGGTTAAAATTTAACATTTTATACTGGTGGGGGAGACGGAAAGGGAAATGACGCCTTTCAACTAGCCTTAGCGTCTCGCGCCCCTTGGCTGCAGGCGGGATCTACTGGGCCTGCGCGGGGCGAGGCGGGCGAGCAGTGACGCGCCAGGGCGCCGCGGTGTCTTCTGGGGACTCGGGCCGCTTTGAGCTTCCTGTGGGCTAGGCGGAGGCGGCCGTTTGTTTTGCGCCAGCTCGAACTCGCGCGCTCCCGTCCCCTCCCCCCGGCGAGCGGCGGGGCGGCTGTACCAGCGGACTTCTCAGTCTTCCGCGACTCGGTTCTTCTTCCCTCTCCCTCTTACTGTTTGTTGTGTGTTTGATGTGTTAAAGCAGGAGCGAGAAAACGAGCAGCGCCATGAGCAACACCACCGTCGTCCCCAGCACGGCGGGCCCGGGCCCCAGCGGCGGGCCCGGTGGCGGAGGTGGCGGCGGCGGCGGCGGCACCGAGGTAATCCAGGTGACTAATGTCTCCCCGAGCGCTAGCTCTGAGCAGATGCGGACCCTCTTCGGTTTCCTGGGCAAGATCGACGAACTGCGCCTCTTCCCGCCGGAGTGAGTATGGCCCCCGTCTCTCGCCGCCGGGCCTAGGCCTGAGCCACTCATTTCCTTAGGGCCTTACCCTTGAGTTGCTTCCTGCGCCAGCCAGCTTCGTTGAGACCAATTATTTTATTTCGGAAATAGAATCTTCGTGGTAGGCCTACAAATAATGTCATGAGGCAGTTACAGGGCTCACGATCTCAAATCCCCCCCCCCCCGCCCCCCCCCCAAAAAAAAATTGCCGACGTGGTCGTTGTGCCCTAGGCATGCAGGGCCGGCCACCGTGTGTGTAGTGAGTCATTTTTTTAGGGATTCTCTGAAACAAAGGTGAAAAAGTTATTCACCCCGTGTTCATTTGATGATAAACTTTAAGCAGTGGTTCACTTGTTGCTGAATATTGTTTCTCAGTGGTTCTGGCCCAGGATATACAAATCAGAGATCAACATGTTTTTGACACTACTTCAATAGGTTAGAGGGCTTAATTTTTATAATAACAAAAATGGGTTATAACTGAAACATTTTTTCCGTTTTGTTTAAATAATGTACATGTTTCTGTTACTTAACGATTGTTTATGAGAACAAACAATACTCTTTTTTTTTTAGTGTTTTTTATCTTGTTTTTACATGCTAAAAATTATTTTGGTTACAAAACTAAAGTGAACGGCTGAAATAGTAGAATAGTGTGTTCTTTGGGAAGTGAAAATTGTGAATACCATAGTTTCCATGGTCGTTTGGGACTATACAGTAACTGGTTGCGATGTCACACTTCAGACACTTTAAGTGGTATATTGCCTTTAGTTTTTAAGAAAATAGGCAATTCTGGCATCATTTGTGCCAGGTAGGATTCTGGGAAGAGCGCCTACATTTTGAGGGAGTGTGTTTGTTTGCTTGTTTGTTTTTAAATAGAAGTGAGAGGGCTCCAAAAAGTTGGTGGGGGTGGAAATTAAATTAAAATAATGGGATTTTCTCATGAACTTTCTGAAGACTTGTTTGGGATTACAATTAGCATGTATAAAATGAGTATACAGAAAGATGTTACTATGCCATTTTATCACTTAAGATACTCCTAAATTGTAAGTAAAATTAATATACAATAAAGTGACAGAATAAGAGGAAGTCAATGACACGTTTGGCCATTTTATTACTCCAGGCATTGGGGATAATTAGGTTTATTTATGACATTCATTCTAGTCTCACAAATTATGCACTTTATTTCATTTGCTGTCTTAGAATTAGCTTGATCATTTGAAGATACATTTTTTACAATGTGTCTATGAAGAGACCACAAAGACAGACAGGCAGTTTACTGGTTTGTTTTACCTAATGCAGGGGCAGCATGAACCAGGCTGGCTGTTAGCTTTGTAGTCAAATGAACATTTCCATCCTAACCAGCATAGGTCCTAGAGACTATATATATTATTTGTACCTAATAAGACTTCTTTCCCTGCATTATTTATTCTCAAATAAGCTGAGTTGATGTGGACTCAGAGACCCCTATAGGCCAGAATAGAGATGTCCCTGTGGGTTTCTGAGACTAGCTCTGTAGAGAGTAAAAAGCCTAATCATTCATGTCGTGGCTGGTAGTTTAAAACAAAACTGCTGGCTTTGAGAATAGCAACACGTGTAATCACTAGACCACCAGGGTTTCCTTGCCTTGGGAAGGGATAAATATTGACACGTTTTTTGCTCTTTGACTCCATACAAATAAATTTGTATGTGTTCCCACATACAAATAAACTCTCTTCTGAAAATATAACGTGGTTATAATAGAGTGAATGTTACAGTACCACTAGTGATCTTCTAGTTTTGAACAGTATTTCTTTTTTTTTATAGAGTCTGACTTTTATTGTCCTTTTGCCTCACATTGTTATTTGTGTCTCTTTTTTTAAAATCATTTTATTAGGGGCTCATACCACTCTTGTCACAATCCATACAAACATCAATTGAGTAAAGCGCATTTGTACATTCATTGCCCCAACAGTATTTCTTAGATGACTACTTTGTTATATTATTTTTTACTGGTTTAAATCTCAATAGCTAATATGACCACATTTTGCCCTTAGGGATAATCACCATCATTTGAAGAGTACTCTTTAAAGTACTTATGTAACTGAACCCCATTCATGCCTAATAAATCTTTCGGTCTTAATTATAAATGTGTACTTTGTGCGGAGCCTCCTTTGAGTTAAACTGAATGTTTCAGTGACATTCTGCTCAAGATTCCCATTGTAAATGAATTCATCTGTTTCTTAGTTCTTTTAAGTAAAAACTTGCTAACCTATAATTTCACCCAGTAGGGTAAGTATAGTCCAACAAGATAAAAAAATGTATCTAATCCCTTTTTCAGGGCAACAGCCCTGCCGCTATTTGAAAACTGTGTCTCCCCCATGTATTCTTTTGTTGAAAAACCAAAAATGGCATAGGGGCAGCAACCAACCACTTCCAGCTTTCAAAGGGGAACGAAAATCAAATTCAGCATTGGTCCAAGGTCAAATTACATGAGGCGGAGGTCAAACATACCTCTAATCTTTACCAATTCCAGTACCACTTGTCCCTCCCAAGACACAAGTTGCTGCTCTGCTGAGTTCAGATAATCTTGGCAAAAACCACACCGAACTGAGACAATACTCAGGGTTATGGGGTTTACTAGGGAAATTTGTGGGTTATAATTAATATTTTAAAAGCTTAAGCTATTGCCTGCCAGCACATCTCTCTCCTAGGCCGTAGCCACATGGCTGCCTTGGCCTCTGTGCTCCTCAGGCAAGTGTCATAAATTTCTATATCTGCTGATAAAATACCCAGTGCTCTAATTTGTACTCTTGTACTGCTGTCACTGCTCCTGTTACAGCTCTGCTCACTAGAAAAGATGTTCTGGGATCTCGGGGTCCAAATGGCATACTCTACTCTTCTTTCTTGGTGGCAGTGCGATCTTCCCATTACTCCTTTGTGATGCTTTTTTAAACGTGGCAGGATGTCAAAATTTGCCAATCCAGATGTTAGAATTCTGTATGTCCTAGTCCATGGTCCCATTCAGTGATTTGATGGGATTTACAAAGCCTGGCTAGAAGAGCCATTGAAGTAATTCACTGCACCACACAATAAACCAAGATTATTTTAGGTCTAGTTCATAAAACATACTGGAAAGTCTGAACTGTTTCTCTGTAATAAGTGCTTTGTTTCCTATTTTACCCAGTCCTTACAGTCCAGAGGAAGACCATATTTAACATTTTACATCCCTAAGCCACACTACCAATAGTGTCAGAACAGTTTAATCCTAGTGTCATGCTTTTGACCATTTGAGATTTTTTTACCACCATTTCTTTAGAGCTGAATAATAAAAGGAATACAAAGAGAAATCATACAAGGTAAGCAAATTAAACTTTGAGTGAAAGTTACCTGTTGCTTACTCGGGTTTAGGAAATGTCTGGTTTAAAGCTCAAAATTCTCAGATCTTTAGCACAGTTTAAGATAGGAATTGAAAGTGATAATCAGTGACTTGATCCAGACATTCCCATGGGTATGAATATCAACTGAGAAACTAGAAAATTTAAACTCAAGAGTTCCCCTCTTATAAAAGGATTCTCATTCGGTAGGATGGAGATGAGCCTCACAGGTCTCAAAGGATGCTTTTAAAAACATCCATAGGTAGTTGGAGGAAATACAGAAACAATAGGTGGAGGGCAAAAGTACCATTTAAGAAGTTCAGATTTCTTTCTCTGGAGTTAGGTATTGGGCTGCTAATGGCAAGGTTGGTAATTCAAACCAAACAGCAGCCCCTACACAAGAGAAAGATTAGCCTTTCTGTGCCTGTGAACTGTCTCAGAAACCCTGAGAAGCAGTGCTTTGGCTTGTCTATTTGAGTTGGAATTGGCATAATGGCAGTGGATTTAAGGTGGGGTTGGGGTGGGGGAACTTTTTAATTGTGCCTGTCTCTATACTTAAAATTGAGTGATTTACATTTTTAAAAGTTTTACTTGCACAAAATTAAGAAAGTATAAAAATGTAGTTCATTGTGTTGGGTGAAATAGTAACAAAAGATCCTTAGTCAAAATCTAAATGAGCCTTGCAGTAAGATGAAATAAATCATTCACCCTTCTGATTTATCATTGTGGGCTCTTAAGTAATTTAACAGAAAAAAATTAAGCAGGTGTTTTTGGATCTAAGCCACTATGATAAGACAGTATTGCTTAATGCCATTTTATATTATAGGTAGTTTACTCCTGTTACATAATTAGCTTTGTTTCAAACTTGAAAACTGTATGCGCAAGTAAAACCTACTAGCCACTTAACTGGAGAAAGGTGAGGCTATCTGCTCTTGTATGAAGATTTAGTCTCATATGCCCGAATTAGAGTTATGAGTAGGAATCTACTTCATGGCAGTAGGTTTATTTTTTGAGGGATTTCTTATCTTACTGTTATTACTTTTTCCATGGTGGTTAAATCACCACTTACAGGATTCAATGTGCCAAAGGTATTAATTATAACATTCTTATTATGATATGTGGATAGAAAAATGCAAATATCTCACAAGCAAATGGGAATCTATTTAACTTATTTAAAGGCTTTTTTTTTTTTTTAAGTTTCTTGAAAGGCCTAATCAATGTTTTAGAACTTTACGCTTAAGTTTTACTTCAAACACACAAGTGTTAAATTAATAGAGGTCACCATTTTAAGATGATTTGATTATGTATTATTTCCCAAGGCATTTTGTAAGGTGTTAGGACATAAGGTGATATCCATACATAGAACTACTTTTTAAGGGGCAAAAATGTGGATGTAAGAAAAAAGAAAGAAAAATACTGCTGTAGTTTTAGTACAAATTATCAAGGGCTCGGGAGGGAGGGGGAAATGAGGAGCTGATATCAAGGGCTCAAGTAGAAAGCAAATGTTTTGAGGATGGTGATGGCAACAAATGGACAAATGTGCTTGACACGATGGATGGATGGATGGATGGATGGATTGTAATAAGAGTTGTACGAGCCCCAATAAAATTATTTAATTAAAAAATAAAAGTAAATTGTCAGTAAGAATTGAAGAAGCTCTCCATCACAGATGAATTCATTGATTACCATGATAATGGAGCAGAAAGCTTGAATATTTTTATCTCACAGATGAAACTAATGGGTAGCCATGGGTGATTACTACTGCCTTAGACCATTGGTTCTCAACTTTAGGTGTGGAACTGAGGAACATGCTCTGCTTTTATTTGATCTTTTTCTTTCAGGGTTTCATGTCAGAAATTTAGATATCCCCATATAAAAATTCATTCTCACTCTGCATTACACTGCCATAACATGCACTTGTTTTTTGTCTTAACCAAGGAAACAATTTGCTAATGGGAGTGGTTAGTACTAGGGGCAAAAGATAGTTTGGTTCCCCATATATGCTTAATTTTTTTTTTCCTCTGGAAGGAACTAAGCCATAGTGCCTTAATTACTTATGAAACCAAGGAGTTTAAAGAGGGAAAGACTTGACACTAGTTACGGTATTCAGGGCAAGAACGCTTATTGAAAAATGCATTTTGCCAGTATATTCTTTGGTGCTGGAGCTGGAAAAACCTTGTTTTTCTTTCCCTCTGCTTGGGAGAAAAACTAGGCTTTCTACTCTTAAAAAGATTTACAATCTCAGAAACACAGTTTCTGGTTTAGTAGGGTCTTGCTATAAGTTGTAATGGATTCATTGGCAGTGAGGGGAGTGGGCGGGTGTGTGTGTGTGTGTGTGTGTGTGTGTTTAATACTACTGATAGGTACAGTTCTTGCCTATGTACATAGGGGTTACCATAAAGCAATTGACTGTGGCAACGATTTTCACATAAGGAATATTGCTAGGGAAATTACTAAAATACAAAAGACAGAACAAAGGCCATGATAAAAAGTTTACCATCTGGTGATAGATACCTAGAGCCTGTGTATACTATACTGCGAAGATTTAGTTTCAAATGGTTTTTCAGCTTGTATAAATTTAAACAATTGTAAATATCTTTTATATCTACATGAGTTCATTATTTGAAATGTCATTTTTTTCTTTACATAATTAATGTATTTTACTTTGGAGAGAGAAGCATTGGTTTTTGAGTTAGAGGTGTTTGTATTATAACTGCTACTCTTTTTCTTTTATGTTGTATTTTTGTATTTTAGTGATTCACCTTTGCCAGTGTCATCCCGTGTCTGCTTTGTTAAGTTCCATGATCCTGACTCGGCAGTTGTGGCACAGCATCTGACAAACACTGTATTCGTTGACAGAGCTTTGATAGTCGTACCATATGCAGAAGGTTTGTGCTTTGTTTAACTATCTATGTGGGCATCCTAAGATGATCATCTAATCTACCTCAGTATAGTTATAGCATGAGTATTAGACATTTAAACTGTTAACATTTTGAAACCCTTGTTATACTGCAGTTCATAATTTTTACTTGGAGACTTTTAATTTTTAAAATTGCAAATGAGATCTTTTATATATTCAACTTTTGCTTTCTTATGAAATACTTAGAAGTTCACGAAAACTGTGCCCATAGTTTTAACTCAATAAGACAACTCTTTTACTTAAAGTAAACTTACTGTTGAGGTTTTTTGGTTGTGTTTTTTTTTTTTTAATTTAAGTCCTAATGGCAAATGGCTTATTCCATGCAGACTTATAAGAAACCCTGAAATGCATGACTGTTATTTCTGTTTTACATATATGACTAGGTTGGTTTTATTTCTCTAGTGTGCCCTCTCTCCTGATGAGGAAAGAAAAATCCTATGTTGAATTCTTCCAGTATACCAAGGGTTGCAATATATTGATTTGGCAAAAAGTTCAATATGTTCTATAGCTTAGGTGCCAGATGGGCACTGGGTGTTGTGTTTTTATGCCAGATTTTCATGTTCTTGCTATAATTTCTAGAATATCTCTAAATAATAAATTCTTTTCTCTGTTATTTGTGTGTGTGATTTTTGTAGTGGAGAAGGCAAATGCAAAACCCTTCCAGATGACTGAAAAACAGTGGGTCCTCTGCAGCTACAGGGGATTCTAGACATTAACTAAAGGCCAGCAAGCACTCAAGTCCCCCCAAGTGTTTTCCTGGTGTAACCATTTGTTAACTACATTTTCTCTTTTTACATTTTAGGCTGTTAAAGTAATTTGACAGGAAAAAAAATGAGCAGGTTTTTTGGATATAAAAACCACTGTGGCAAGACAACACTACTTAAATATGCCATTTTATAAAATTTTCTAAGCCATATTTATTAATCACATTTGTTCCCATTGTGCTGTTACTGATTTGCTCTTGGGTAACTATAAATTTTGATCGAAGAAATCACTTAAGTATTTTAAGTTTACTGGATTTTGAGTTACTAAATAGCTGGCCAGGATTTAAGTTCGTATACCTTTAATGAACTGGTCAGTGGATGGAGAATCTCAATGCTGTTGTTTTTAGATGCTGTCATAGATCTTTGAATACCAATATGAACATTTAACATGCCTTGTAAAAGTTGTAAAGTGTCTAGAGTCCTTAAAACAGAGAAATTGCCTTTGGTTTTCTAAGAAATGAACTTATATTCATAGATTGGTTAAGGCATGCTGAATAATAACAGTACTTCTGTCTCCATAATCTAAAAGTATTTGGGCCCAGTATTAAGGTGTACGTGGGGGTGGTGGGGATTGTTGGTTGGTTAGTTGGTTTTTGGTTTCTTGAAGATAAATTTTTGAGCAAGTGTTTTGATTAAAGCAATTTCTGTAATGCCAGTATGTCTGTTATAGGATAAAGCTTTGCCAAGAGAAATTCAAAATCAAGATGAGTAAAAATAGGTCTTGGCAAAAAGATCAGACCATGCGTAATATGCAAAACATTTTCCTCCTTAAGTTTTCATATGTGTACTGGTTACGTATTAGACTTCACAAACATAATACAGCATATCATAACTGGCTTTCAGAAATAATTTTAGACTAATTTTTCCTAGACCTGTGTTTGAAAGAAGTATTTGAACATGTATAGGTAGAATTACAGCTACATTGTACAAAAAGCTACTCGGTATAATTTTTCATGATATGCTGTATTAATGTTGTCTACTGAATAATTTACTCAATATCTTTTATTCAAGATTCATTAGTTTCAACTTTTACACTTTGGTGTTGGCTCTTCCTCAGTGTTTTAGAATAATAAACAAGATTATGGTAAGGAGCAGTCTTAAGTGAGAAAGCTGGATTTGGAAGGAACTCTTAATAGGAGTAATGGATTTGGGGGTTATTTAGGTTCCTTGGTTAATGTTTGTTTCTTTTGTCTGTTTCTTTTTCTTTCATTTCTACACATTCATGCAGTATTTCATGGTTCTATCAAAGCAGCAGTAAAAAAAATACTCTTGACGCATGAAAATTAACTGGTGAGGGGCCTCATTGCTATTTTTAAATTGTAGTTTTATTTTTAAATAGTTTTTTTTTTTAATCAGAGGATCAGATGCATGATTTTTTTTTTAATGGATGCAGATCTTCTATCAGGTGTCTCAATAAATTGAAGAGGATTTTAGTTTGCCAGAAATGTTGCAAATGCACTAACTTGAGTAAGATAGATATATCCTCTTGAGACATAATTTTGCATGCAAAATTATCCCATAATCTTTGTAGGTTTGTTAATATTGATGCATTAATGCCCTGTATCTAAATTATCTTCTCCCTCCCCCTCCATAACTCTTGGTATCTAAATTGATGACAGCTCTGACACAAGCAAGATAACAGTGCTGTGTAGTATACATTTGTTTATATTATCGGCACTTCTCAGTATAGGTGGAAGGAACCATTACCTTTATTTAACAGTGGTTTTTCTTTTTTGTTGTTGTGTTTTACAGTTCTTTTCCCTGGTTCAGCCTGAACTATATACCAGGCCCTGCTGAAAATACCACCCAACAGTTTTCTTCTGCAGCTTATCCAGTTTCTCTTAAGTGCCCTGTACATATTGTATGTTTTATGATGAGATGCAGTTTCTTAATATGTATTACAGAAATACTACTGGTATTTGAAAATATGTAGTTTAATTGTATTATTGAACTCTCATTTTGGGGGCTTGGGCACATTAGCAGATTAATCCATCTGTATAGGGCTTTTGCTGTTGGATAGAATTTAAATTGTCTACATAAATATTTGTCATAGGACCCTTAGATTGTATCTGAATACACGGATTAGGGTTTAAAACAGACATACATGCCTCTCGGCTTATGGAGTTTGGCTAAGTTAGCTTTTGAACTGATAACATATAGCAGCATTTTTTGGTATGGCTAGCATGGCACATGTTTGGAGCGTAATGCATTTTACTGTACAGGTAAGGAATGTGCCATGTTGTTTAGTTATCCTTTGTCTCTTACTCATTTCCCACACATGTATCCTGAGTGTATTCAGAGGCCTTCGCAAACATTCATTTTGATGAGTCAGCAAAAGCCCTACACTTGATTCCAACAGAGTATTTCCTTTACATACTTTTCTTCTCTTAATTTTTACAAAAATTTATATGGTAGGTGTAAAAAAAATCGTAGTAACTGTACCATATTATTAACCCCTAAATCAAACTTTTTTTGTCTTGTGTATCTTGATTTTTCTGTGTGCTTTATAGTGAAGCAGCCGACTCGAGTCGTTGTTCATAAAACAGCTTTTGAAAGTTGAGAGCACACCCCTGGAGAACGACTGTGCTTGCTTACGTTTGGTTCATGACTTAGAAATCGAGTACAGGTGATGAAATCTTGGCAGTGTTAACAAAAAAGTAGTGTGTATTGTGCTATTTTTTTTTACTCTAGAAACTTAACCATTTGTAGAGAAAAAGGAAACATTTTCACACATTGAAGTTTCATTCTGACATAAAATTAATGATAAATCATAGAAATCAAGCTTTATATTTTAGCGAACATAAGTACTTTCAACAAACTCAGGTGGTGTATCAGGGAGACATTTTCTGGGTGTTTTTGTGTGTTTTTCTTTCTTGCAAAAGAATGTGTCCTAATGCAAGGATGTTTCTCTGCAGGAGTTATTCCTGATGAGACTAAGGCTTTGTCTCTATTGGCACCAGCTAATGCAGTGGCAGGTCTTCTGCCTGGTGGTGGACTCCTGCCTACACCCAACCCACTTACCCAGGTAAAAGTTCTGTCAAATATTTAAATTTTGAGTACGGCTAAATCTGCTTGAGATTTTTAAATGCTAATAGAATTCTTGTCCTAGACTGATGCCACATATGCATAATATTTTTAAAGATTCTATTATAGTCATAAATAAAGTAACTTAAAACTGCATATTTTACGTGCTAGGACTCTGAAAGAAAATAAAGCTCAAGTTCAGACCTCTATAGTAAAGAATCATTCAACACTTGTCACAATCATACATCTATTGTATAAAGCACATTTGTACATTCGTTACCCTCATCATTCTCAAAACACCCGCTCTCCACGTAAGCCCCTGGCATCAGCTCATTTTTCCCCCTCCCTCCTCACCCCACCCTTCCTCATGAACCCTTGATAATTTATAAATTATTATTTTTTGTCATGTTACACTATCTGACCAAAAATCATTTTAGACTATAATTTTTCCAAGATATGTGTTTGAGAGTGGCCAAATAGTAAGACTTGTTGGGTAGTGACTTTTCCCAAGAGAGTATTACTGGTAATTACTGAAAGGTGATGACCACTGAGTGTACCACTTTCTGCTTCTTGTTATGGGATACAGGAACGCAGGTGAGAAGCCCCTCCTTTTAATGCTTAGTACCATACCATCTGCCAAAGGAAAAATGTTTTTGTCTGCAGTGTCAGAAAGCAAACTGAACCAAGACCCGTTCTTGAGTCACTTCTGACAGAGCAACCACATAGGAAGGAGTTAATGCTATCCTGGAGGATTTTCAAAGCTAGATCTTAATAGAGGCATATTGTGTTCTATTTTAGCACCATGGGAAAGGCTGGTGGGTTTGAGTGCTTTCTAACCACTGTGTCATCGGAACTCTTAGGACAAAGAAAGGTGGATTTGTAACAAAAGTAATTATTACATTTGGGACAAGAATATATAGAAATTTCTTGGATTTTTTTCTAAATCCTGGTTTAATAGTAAAATTCAGTAAGTGAAAAAAAATAACAGGGCTTCGTTGTATAGCTCAAAAAGTAGCGCTGGTAGTGTACTGGTTATACATTGGGCTGCTATCCTTTGTCAAGAATAGGCAACCAATAACAATTGCCTGACCTATGAGAGCGCTATGAGTCAGAATCAACTCAGTGACAGTGGGAATGGTTTTGTTTTTATTATGTAGGTCAAAGATCAGCAAACTTCACCCTAGGGACTAGAAACTAAACCTATCTTGTTAATAAATTTTCATTGGAATACTGTATTCATCTGTTTTCTGTGGCCGATTTTGTGATATAATGCAGAAGAGCTTAGTAGCTAAAATAGAGACTACATGACTTTGTACCAGGGAAAAAGTTGCTATCCTTTGATAGAGAACAGGAATGAAGTTGTAAATAAAAGGAATTTAAAATTTCACAGATTGGCGCTGTTCCATTAGCTGCTTTGGGAGCTCCTACTCTTGATCCTGCCCTTGCTGCCCTTGGGCTGCCTGGAGCAAACTTGAACTCTCAGGTATAATTTATTCCTCTTCAACTTTAAGAGTTTTTTATAATTAAAGAACATGCACTATTAACTTAATTTTTATTTCAAATGGAAATTTATTGATGTTTTAAAATGTCTCATTAAAATTGTCATAATTTACAGTTTAATATCCTTATGTCATGGGAATCAAAAAACAACCATTAAAGGATGGGAAACTAGGTTTATACTTTACCTTTCTGTTACTTCCTCTCTTGGAATGGTTGCTTTTCCTTTGTGACAATTGAGCTAAACCATTTTTTTTCAGTCTTTGTTAAGGCGTTTTTGTCAGACTGACTCTAAGGACTTTTGTTGTACTTCAAAACATTACCTTTAGAACATCTTAAAATAAACAAGGAAGAATGAATTGTTCCCTAAAATCTAGATTGTAACGCCCCATACATTTCAGATTTAACTTGCAAAGATAGTCCAGTATTGTAGCCAGTATGCTAGCGTTTAATTTCTTTTAATGCTTAAAATGTGTGCACTGTATGGCAAGTATAAGCTACATTCTGTGTTTCTTGAACAGTGGTATACCCTAGAGTATGTTTTAATGGCTTTTTAATAGGCTTAATAGTTTGTCTCCAGACATTTCACCATGCTGAAAAATAAATGTCAATCATATACTGCTTCGTGTATTACTGCTTTGCCTATATATATATGTGTGTGTTTTTGTTTTTGCAGTCTCTTGCCGCAGATCAGTTGTTGAAGCTTATGAGTACCGTTGATCCCAAGTAAGAGGTTATCTTTCAGTGGGTTATTTGGAAGGACTATATGTTGGCTTGTTTGTAATATTTCATTGGCATGTGATTCATGTATCATACAAGAAGAATTAGATTATGATTATCAGTACTATCAATTTCAGAATATTTTCTTCTCTTCCATGCTCGTTACCTCACCATTTTCTCCCTGTCCTTCCCTTCCCTAACCCTGGATAATTTTTAATCTAGTTACTAGCTCTAGTTTTACTTGTTCTGGATTTCATATACAGAAAATCATACAAAATGATAACAAGAAACAACAAAACAGGAAAACCTCAATCAAAAAGAAAGTACTAATAACTGAAATAACTTTAAAATGGGCCAGGAGGGAGGATCACGTGATAACGGTGCTACATTTTAATCCAACTGCATATGCCATTATCTACTTTATAATGCTCTTTGTCTGATAGCAAGGCTGTATGCATCCCTGCACTATGGGTTAGAGGGGATTTAATAGAGGCTTAATCCACATGGGGTATCTGTAAATGCAGTTTGGTCTGTCATTCATAGCTTTCTGCAAGCCAACTATTCTGAGTTTAAGGCCTGATACCTTTCCTTCAGATTTTGATTTTATTATTTATAATCCTTGGACCACACCTGATGGTGTGCTGCTTCTGTGTGAATTAAACTAAAAAGTTAGGTTGTACCTACCACCCAGCTTATAAAATAAAGTATCAATATAATTGAAACTTAAAACATATATTAAGTCATATAAGGCATTTCTAGATATGTTACATTTCAATTCGTGATTCTGTTTCAGATTGAATCATGTGGCTGCTGGTCTTGTTTCACCAAGTCTGAAATCAGATACTTCTAGTAAAGAAATAGAGGAAGCGATGAAAAGAGTACGAGAAGCACAATCGCTAATTTCTGCTGCTATAGAACCAGGTAAAATGTGTCATACCATTGTGTTGAATCTTAAACTCTCATTCTTCAAATTCTTTCTTAGGTGTTGTAAATGTTCAATATTAAGATCAAAACAAATCATGTGATACTCAAGTGTATTTGAAAATATCTGGAGATAACTTTAGAAGCCAGGGATATTACTAAGCATCCTACAAGTGCATCAGATAGTTCTTCACAACAAACCCAAAACAGACCTAGCCCAAAATGATATAAATGCCAAGAATTATCTTAATAATTAGTATTATAACTTGGTGTTTATAATAGTTTTCATATTTGCATAGTTGAAGTTGTCTGACTGATTTTCACCCCTTTTAGTGTGGCCTAAAGAATCTCGTGAAGCAAACACTTCATATTGTCTAATTGCGATTAAATAGGTGGTTATCTGTGTCTGCATACATATATTTTATTTGGGGTCCTCAATTTACTTTAAAATGTGCTACAGTTTACTCTTAATCACAAATTGGTGGGTGTGGGCGCGGGTTATTGTTTGCCACTGAGTTGTCTAACTGATGAAAACCCTATCGAGTAGAGTAGAATTACCCTGATGGTTCTCCAGGCTGTAGTCTTCATAAAAGCACAGTGTGTAACCCACTATGCTACCAGTGTTAAGAAAATAATTTTTAAGTTATGTTAAACAATACTGCTGCTTTATTTGAATTTTCTCTTTAGATCAGTAGTTTTAACTTGTCTAGATCTATGTAGTTAGTTTCAAAGGCAAAACACTGCCCATTTTTTTGGTGGTGCTTCCTGTTTGTGTTTTGTAGTTTTATTTTGTAGTTTTTATTGAGTACTCTTGCCTGATATTTGAATTATTTTAAAGCTTCTTTGCTAATTGTCATTATTTATAATGACAGTCACAACAAATTTCATAATTCAGTGATCTGAGTAACAAAGAAGTCTCATTCTGATGATAGCTTATGTATTAATGAGATCCCTTCATTTCATGAATCAGGTCTTACATTACTAAGTTCTATGTTATTTGAAAGTAGGGAATAGGATTACCATTTAGATCTGGTTCTGACATAATTGAAAATTGTATGAGAAAGAACATCCATAATGGGTACTTTTCAGGAAGAGCTGTTGAGCTTGGAGCCAATTTTCTCTCAGAAATAAGCAGTGAATGAATTACAACTTTTTAGAGTTAAGGGGTCTTAGAACACAGAGCTTTAAATAGTAGAGGGAAAAAATGAGTCATTCTCTGACTCCCAAACATGCTCATATATAAGGTAATTAACATTTTACAGTACTAAGAATGTAAATTGGGGGTTGGGGAGAAGAGGACACGGGTTCTGTGGTAGAATTCTTAAACCTTCAGGCAAGAAACTCATGCACAGCCAACGCCATCACCCAGAATGTCCATGCGAGGCTTTCATGTTAATGATACTAAGCAAGTTTCAGCAAAGCTTTCCGACTACAACTAGAAACAAAGCCCTTGTAAATTTATGTCCAAAACTCAGCCAGTAAAAAGCACACGAATCACAATGGTCATGTCCACAAACTGGTGGTCAAGGTAGCCAGAAACAGGCATTCTTATTGCAATGTAAAAGATGTCAAAATTAGGCATATACCAACTGGATGGTAGCTAAAAATTACTTTTATATTCATAGATGAATGCTTGCTGGGAAAAGGTTGCCAGTACAAATACACATGCAAATTAAATCTTAATTTGGCTAAAGTGTTATCGTGTTTGGGAAGATGGAACCTTGGTGAGAAACGGGTGGGTCATAGTGGCTGATAACAGTTACGTACTCATTATTACCAGAAATTCTGGCAGTTTGTAGCTGCTCAAAATCTCTGGGAGAATGGTCTGATTCCTTAAAGATCATGGCCACAAAAATGTATGGGACAGTCCAAATCTGTCACATGATGTGATTATAAGTGAAAATTGACTCAGTGGCACCTACCTACTAACACTAACTCCTATGACAGTAAGGGAGTTCCTCTCTTAAAGCCCTCTAAAGAATGAGAACTGAAGAGCGTTCCCTTATGGATTACTTTTGGTAGCTCCTTTGTAGACTTTTCACTCTTCACAGTCTGACAAATGAAAAGGAACCTTTAGCTTACAGTTTAAATTCTATTGGGATCTACGAAAAGCCTAGATTGATTGTATCCTTTAAGAAACTAGATTATTTTCATTGTAAAAAGATCACTTGTAACATTGAAGAATATATGTAAAGTCTAGAATATAGTAAAGAAATTATGAATAATTCCTGAATTTGAATTATTTTCCTACTTAATAAAATTTCTAAATCCAGACTTTTTTTAAAAACCAGATAAGAAAGAAGAAAAACGAAGACATTCAAGATCAAGATCACATTCTAGGAGGAGGAGGACTCCTTCATCTTCTAGGCACAGGTTAGAGTACATTCTCTATATATTTGTGTCTTACCAAAGGCAATGTTAGGCATATTCTGTTGCCTGTTAACACACTGGCTCCATGATAAAGATGTGCATAATGTGATGAGTGAATGACAGTTCACAAATGTATCGATAGAGAGTGGACATGGAGTGATTTGACAGTTGGAGTACATAATTAAATAGAAAATCCAGGTGATAGAAAGTATTGTTAGTTTCTAAGCTATCTAAGATTTCGGTTATATAGTTAGTAGTGGAAGCAACTTGCATTTGGAATTTCCCCTACTTGTTGGTGTCTAACCCATATATATGAATCTTTAATTTGATACCAAGTGGTTTGTTGTTGTTTTTTTCATTACTATTTATAAATAAACAACTGCGCTGCTTTTACATTAGGCGATCCAGAAGCAGGTCTCGGAGAAGATCACATTCGAAGTCAAGAAGTAGGCGAAGATCCAAAAGTCCAAGACGGAGAAGATCTCATTCCAGAGAGAGAGGTAGAAGATCAAGAAGCACATCAAAAACTAGGTATATCAAACTGTTAGACATTTGAATGGAAAGATATTCAGAGCACTTAAGACCTCAAAAAAAGGGCCACTGAAATGATTTTAAAAATAAGTAGGAAAGGACATGATGCTACCTTAAAAGAGATGCAAATTCAAATTTTAGATGGCTTTCTTGTTCTGCTTTTTAATTGAAAATTTGACCTATGTACCGAAGGGTAAAGTTTCTTAAGTATAAATTCTTGTGCACCCTCCTAGCCATTCTCAATGATATGCCTAAGAGTTACGGTAGACAAGCCTCTCGTCTTCCTTTAAGCACCCTAAAACAGTTAAAGATTACTACATATTAGACCCTTAACCATATAACGGAGGCTTTTATCCATGATTTGGGACAACTGGAAACTTAAGGGAGAATTATAATAGTAAATGTAATTGAGGTCTTAGCTATTTCATTCTTGGCAAACATCTAGCTCAAATAATGGGAACCAGATCATTAGTTTTGCTATTATTCGTGTTCATCCCATAGTGAAGCTTTTAATCATTGCATAGGAAATTATTTGTCAGACAAGCAAGGTTGCTTAATGGGCCATTGTGAGGCATACAAAGAATTGGGCATACCCTGGAAGAGCACAGGGCTAAACTTGACCTGCTAATTTCAAGGTCATCTGTTTCAACCCAACAGCCACTCTTGACAGTGAAAGGTGAGCATTTCAGCTCCCATAAAAATTTTAGCATCAGAAAGAAACCCTTTGGAGCAGTTCTGTTTTGTCCTGAGTTTTTATCAACTCTGGCAGTAGGTTGGTTTTTGTCAGGAACTTTAGAGATTAGTGTAATTACAAGGGGAAGAGACAATGATTTGACTGACTTGCTACTTAAAATTAGGAGAGATTTAATGATGGTAATTAAATTTTTGGCAAAGAGTGGTACAAAAACCAACATAAGATTTTGAAATATACTATACTCTTGAAATTTTACTATAGCAAGTATTTCTATTTAGTATAGTACCAGGAAATAAAATTTATAATTAAAAAAAAAAATTAAGGAGACAACGAAAGTCCTTGTAGGTGATAACTAGGAAGTTTTCACTGAAAACAGAAAAATGATAAAGATTGTTTTTTCAGGTGTATACTTTGAACTTTTCTGGCAGGGCTTTAGAATTATTTTGTTGGAAAACGTGACAAAGTAGGAGGATCTGACAGTAACAGGACATCTATAACGGAAACTTAAGAAGAAACAAAGACTTAAAGTTTGGTGATTGAGCACTATGACGAGAGAGAATGGAATAGAGAACATGCTTGTACAAGGTTTAGCCTAAAACAACAAACCTTTCGTCAATTCAACTCTCAATTCATAGTGGCCTCATACAGTGTTTCCTGGACTATATATACATCTTTCACAAAGCTGTCTCGTCTTTTTTCTGCAGAGTGGCTGAGTTTGAAAACTATGTGGCTAGTGTTCCAATATTTAGCCAAGAGTGCCACTTGGGCTCATAAACAACAAACAAAAAACACTTCCATTAAGTTAATTCTGACTCATAGTGACCCCATAGAGGGTTTCTAAGACTGGATCTTTGCAGAAATCAGCCCCGTTTTTTTCCACAGTATAGCTGGTTAGGAGTTCAGTGCTTACCTGACCAGCACCACCCGGCCTCCTTAGAACAACAAATGGCCCTAAAATAGAATAGTTGAGGGTAGATGTGTATGTATTTTTTAATACAAGGGACTTCTTCAAATATATGTTGTTCTCAAAGATAATAGTATCTTGGGGAAATGTGTATAGTTCAAGTAACTTTAGGAATCTAAAAAGATTTACAGTTCAACTAGTGGTGTTTATGTGATAATTTTCTAATAGTACTGAGTAGTATAGGATATGTAGCAACAGAAGACTGATTTAACTGGGTAGATTAGGATGCTTCCTTTGAAAGAATAATTCGGGTGTTATTGATGAGTGATTTGGGGCATAGTTGGTTTGGATACTAATAATCTCAACTAAAAAAGTGTTCAAGGCCTAGAAAACAATTGCTATACCTACTGAATATCACCTCCTAATCTACCAAGAAACTGACTAACACTGATTCTTATGTATTATACTTTGTTCTATCGAGGAGTTTTATATGGAATACTAAAAGTGGGAACTCAAGTCATCTACAACAAATACTCCTCTTAAACTGTTACATCTAAGCCATTTCTGCCAATTACAGTGTTTTCAAGTATGGACCTAGATAGAAATTTTGTTTTTATTTGTAGTGCTATATAAATTTAAATAGCTGATCCTTTTAACTCTAAATTGTATTCACTTATTAGAGACAAAAAGAAAGAAGATAAAGAAAAGAAACGCTCCAAAACACCACCAAAAAGTTATAGCACAGCCAGACGTTCTAGAAGTGCAAGCAGGTAAAGTGGCACCATGACTTTTGCCTTTCTTTTTGTTAACTTTTCAATAATATTGATAGCCTATGAACATGAAGTGTTTTCCAGAAGATAGATACATATTTCAGTCGTGAAAGAAATTAGGCTTTGCCATTACATTGAACGTTTTTTTGAAGGCAATTTGTGAAGAATAACCTGAGGTTCATCTCTCTTTTTACTTAGTATTTTATGGTGTAGAGGGTATTTGAAACAGCACGGAATTCAACCGAGGTTAGTTTCTATTTTTGCTATATGCATCCCCAAATCCTGTTGTGTTTTTTTTTTTGTTTTTTTTTACTATTCTAACAGTTACGTTTTAGTGCTAAGGTATACTGAAGTATTGTGTTAAATTGGTTTCATTTGAGTAAATTATATTTAATGTAGCCACATATTAATCTTAAATTATTTTTCTTTTCCATATTATGATTGTTGAAATTAAATGGGAGGCTATTTATGTTGTGGTTTGTATCATTTAGATCTTTAAATTGCCAACATGAAAATCAAACAGTGGTTGCAAACATCATTCTATCAAAAATATCTTTTTACACTTAATATGAAAATCCATAATGCTCATACCTAATTTCATTCTTTTAGTCTCATTTTTACATGATTTGCTGCATTGTTGATCTAGCTTAGAAAAACTCAGGAGGCACAGTTAAGGAAAAGCCCTAAATATTAGAGCTACAATTATAAAGCAATGGGGGGAAGGGGTGGCAGATCATAGGAACTAATCTTTCAGATTTGACTTTGGTTTCACAGTTCTTACACCAAAACCAAGCAAGAAAATAAATGTAAGAAATTGGATTTTAACAAAATTAAAAATTCTTTGCTTTCAAAGACACTACCAAATCATTAAGAGTGTAAAAGCGTAGGTCTGGTTGATAGAGGACTAAAATATACAAAGAACTCTCGTAAAGCAATAGTAAAAGCCTAATTGAAAAATGGACAAATGATCTGAGGAGACATAACGAGCTACAAAAATGGCCCCCCAAAAAGCATATTCTCCATCATTAATCAAGCAAATGCATGTCAAACAGCAATATGATAACCTCTTTGACCATAAGCATCCCTATAGAAATTTTTAGGAAGGTGGAGAAATTGGAAACTGTAGATTTCCGTTAGAAATGTACACGAGTACTGCTACTTTTGAAAATTGTGTAGCAATTTTTCAAGAAATTAAACAACTTTTTGACCTGTCAATTCTATTCCTACGCTGTTATGCCAAGAAAGTTGAAAGCATATGTCTACACAAAAAGTTAGATGCGGTGTCAGCAGCAACATTCAGAATAAGCAAAAACGCCAAACAAAGCAGATGCCATCAGCTATCTTGAGAGAATCAATGAAGTATTATTAAGCAGCAAAAAGTAATCGACTACTAATCTGGGTGTCACATGGGTAAAACTTGAAAACTTAGTAGATGAAAGCAGCTATACCAGTGGTTCTCAACCTATGGGTCGCGACCCCTCTAGAGGTCAAACGTCCATTTCCCAGAGGTCACCTGATTCATAAAAGTAGCAAAATTACAGTTATGACATAACAATGGAAATAATTTATGGTTGGGGGATCACCACAACATGAACTGTATTAAAGGGTTGCGGCGTTAGGAAGATTGAGAACCACTGAGCTAGACATTTAAGACTACTTTCTGTAATTCCATTGATAAGTCCAGAATAAGCAAATCTATAGAAACAAAACAGACTTGTTTATTATTCGAACTCCCTGGAGGAAGTTTGAAAGCTGGACTAGAAGGTGGTAACTGAGATGTACAGGGTTTTGTTTAAAATGCTGACATTTTCCTTACATTGGAAATTCACATAAGAGCTATGTGAATTCTTATGGTATGTGAGTTAAATCATATATTAAGACTGGGAAAATCAAGGAATAATGTAAAAACAGGCTTTAATTTTAAACAAAATGTCAAGCTGGGTCTGAAAGGATGATCTAACAAAAGGTTAAAAAAAAAACCTGTAAGCCAGCTCTGAGGAATCAGTAGCAAAAGGACTTGGAAGATGGAATGGCAGTAATGTTACTTTCTTAAAGAGAAGCATTTTCATGCCTGTTGTTTTAATATTCTATATGAGCACCTGAGTTAAATCATCACGTGAGTTTTCATTAAATAATTATGTATATGCCATTTCCAATTCAACCTGTAGATAAACAAAAGTAGCTTGTAAAATACCATTTTTTCATCATTTTATTGGGGTCATAAACATTTCTTATCACAGTCCATACATACATCAATTGTATAAAACACATTTGTACATTCGTTACCCTCATCCTCAAAATGTCTGCTTTCCACATAAAAACCGCTGGCATCAACTGCTCATTTTTACCCCTCCCTCATGCATGAATCCTTAATAATTTATGAATCATTATATTGTCATATCTTACACCATCCGACATCTGTCTCCACACACTTTAGATTATATGTAGATCCTTATCATCTGTTGCCCCTTTCCAATCCAACCTCCCAGGACTGTCACTCTCATTACTGGTCTTGAAGGGATCATCTGCCCTGGATTCCCTGTGTTTCTAGTTCCTATCTGTACCAGTGTACATCCTCTGGTCTACCCGGCTTGTAAGGTAGAATTGGGATCATGATGGTGGGGAGGAAACATTTAGGAACTAGAGGAAAGTTGTATTTTTCATCTTTGCTACATCGCTCACTGACTGGAACCATCTCCTCCCCTAGTCCCTTCTGTAATGGGATGTCCAGTTGCCTACAGATGGGCTTTGGGTCCCCAGTTCGCACTCACCCTCATTCACAATAGTATGGTTTTTTTTATTCTTTGATGCCTGATACCTGATCCCTTCACCTGATCCTTCGACACCTCGTGACACCTCGTGATCACACGGGCTGATGTGCTTCTCCATATGGGCTTTGTTGCTTCTGAGCTAGATGGCTGCTTGTTTACCTTCAAACCTTAAAAACCCCAGATGCTGTATCTTTTGATAGCCAGTACCCATCAGCCTTCTTCACCACATTTGCTTATGCATCCATTTGTCTTCAGCGATCTTATCTGGGAGATGAGCACACAATGCTAAGATTTTTCTTAACTGATCCCTTCTGCACCTCGTGATCACACAGGCTGGTGTGCTTCTTCCGTGGGGGCTTTGTTGCTTCTGAGCTAGATGGCCACTATTTACCATCAAGTTTTTAAGACCCAGACACTATATCTTTTGATAGCCGGACTCCATCAACCTTCTTCACCACATTTGCTTATGCACCCGCTTTGTCTTCAGCAGTTGTGTCGGGAAGGTGAGCGTCATGGAATGCCAGTTTAATAGAACAAAGTATTCTTGCATTGAGGGAGTACTTGAGTGGAGACCTAATGCCCATCTGCTACCTTAATACTAAACCTATAAATATATACACATAGATCTATTTCCCCATCCTCATATAAGTATATTTACATACGTACACGCCTTTATTTACACCTCTATAAATGCTCTTTGCCTCCTAGCTCTTTCCTCTATTTGCTTTTACTTTCCTCTTGTCCCACTATCATGCTCAGGCTTCATTTGGGTTACAGTGACTCTGTTACATTACCCTTGGTCACACCCTACGAGGCCTCCTATGCCTTCCCCACCACCTTTTTTGGATCACTTGTTCCCTTGTCCCTGGGTTTGTTAACACCACTAACTTTACCCCTCTTCAATGTTCCCCCTTAACGGTACTGGAGTTTTCTCCTCCAGATACTTTATCCAGCCTATCTTATTTAGACAGACCTTCGGAGATAATACTATGCACAAAAACAAGACAGAGGAAACCAAGCAGCAAAAGAAAACACCAAAAAGCCAATGACCCCCGCAAAAAAAAATACACAAATCAACAAAAAAGAAAAGCTCATAGTTCAAGAACTGTTTGTCGGTCTTATAGTTTTTTCCAGTCAATTCTGATGGGGTTCCAAGACCTGGCCACAAAGTCTATTTTTGTTATTCCTTGGGGACTCCGTTGCTCTGTTCTCCTTCCTGTTCTGTTGCAGAACCTCAGTGTTTTCAGTTGGTGTGGTGGAATCAGTTCGGGTGCAATTCCCACACTTTGTCTCTTGTGTTGTCCGCTGTACGGCTATGGGTCAGTGAGGGATGTGTCTCATAGAAGGGCCAACCATATGGTCTTCTCTGTGGATTGGCTGCTCTGAGCAGGAATATCATCACCAAAGCTTGGTGGGCCAGGATGTGTTCCACTGTCTCTTCCTCCCCCTTCATTTGCTCCCGTGTGTTCTGATCAGACAGGTCCCTCTCTCTGAGCTGCAGCTGTCCTCTGAAATAAATTCTTCTGGGTGGAGAAGTGGCTGTCCCCTTAATTGGGATTGGGACCACCCCCTCCAACCTCTCCACTGGCATGTTGCATTCACCTCTTGGAGCACCAGGTTGAAGTCTGGTCCCTTTTTCCGTGTGGAGATATAAACAATACTCTCCCCTTGGGTGCGTTAGTGCCTTGTTCCCCTGCTACCCATTTCTTTATTTTTCCCTTCCTCACCTGCTTTTTAGTTGGCTACTGTATGTATCCCTGGATTTGGCCTGGCCCCTACCATACTACTTGGTCCTCACCCCAGGGAATGCTTGTATGCAGTAGCTTTTATCCTTTGCCTCTTTTGAAGTTTGTTTGTTTTTTTAAGCTTACCTCAGTGGACTCATGTTGTACTTGTCCTTTTGTGTTTGGCTTACTTCGCTTAGCATGATTTCATCCAGTTCTTACCATGCAGCGATGCGCTTAATACATTCATCACTGCTTTTTAGCGATGTGTAGAACTCCATTGTATGTGTGTACCACAGTTTTTTTATCCACTTGTCAGTTGATGGAAATTTGGGTTGTTTCCATCTCCTTGCCGTGCCACATTGAACATTGGAGCACAGATGGTTTGTTTCTTGCCTTTTCTGGGTATATGCCCAGTAGGGGGGTGGCTGGGTCGTAGAGTAGTGTGATTTCCACCTGTTTTAGATATCGCCAGATCAATTTCCATAGTGGCTATATATACCTACAGGTTCACCAGCAGTGGATGAGAGTTCCTGTCTCCCCACAGCCCCTGCAACACCTCTTGCTTTCTGGTTTTTTGAATTGGGCTATCTCTGAGGGTGTTAGGTGGTATCTAGTTGTTGTTTAAATTTGCATTTCTCTTATGGCTAAAGATGTTGTCAAATGCTTTTTCTACATCTGTCGATATTATGTGGTTCTTATATTTTCTCATGTCAATGTGGCAAATGATACTAAGGGTCTTTTGTATGTTGAACCATCCTTGTATGAATCCCACCTGATCATGGTGAATTATTTGTTTTAGATACTTTTGTATTCTATTGGCCAGTTTTTTTTGTTAAGGATTTTTGAATCGATGTTCATTAGGGATATTGATCTGTAGTTCTCGATTCTTGTGGGATCCTTGCTCGGTTTTGGTATCATTTATACTAGCTTCATAGAAGGGATTTCGGGAGCTTGCCATCTTTTTCTATGTTCTGGAAGAGTTTTTGTCGGATTGGTGTTAGTTCTTCCCTAAATGCTTCGTGGAATTCCCCAGTGAAGCCCTCTTGTCCAGGGGATTTTTTTGTTGGTAATCCCTTGATAACCTGTGTTTTTCTTCATTTGCTATGGGTTTGTTAATATTCTTGACGTACTTTGGGGATAGTCTAGGGAGGGATTGTTTTTCCAAGAATTTGTCCATGTCCTCCAAGTTGTTGAATTCATTGGAGTACACTCCTTTGTAGAACTGTATAATTATACTTTTGATTTCAATAGGGTCTGTTGTAATGTCCCCTCTTTTCATCCCTGATTCTTGTTATTGAAATGTGTTCCCTCCTTTCTTTGGTTAAGTTTGCCAGTGGTCTGTCAATTCTGTTTATCCTTTCAAAGAACCAATTTTTAGCAGCATTTTTTCCATAGTTTTCTTATTTTCCCTCTCCTGAATCTGAGCCCTGGTTTTTATAATTTCTTTTCTTTTGCTGTTAGTAGGATTGTCCTGCTGACTCTGCTCTACTTGTTGTAAATTTTGTGCCAGCATTTCAATTACGAGTCTCTCTTCCTTTTTCAGGTGTGCATATATCGCTATGAAACTTCCTCTGATAACTGCCTTTGCTGTGTCCCATAAGTGTTATGTCGTGTTCATTCTTGTTGGTTTCTAGAAATTTCCTAATTTCATCTCTTATCTGTGCCAGTACACACTCCTTTTGCAGTAGAAAGTTATTTGTCCTCCAGTTGTTTCCTCTTGTTCTCTTTGTCTTCTTTTTGTTGATTTCCAGCCTTATGGCACGGTGCTCAGAGGGGTCTGTATGATATCAACATGCTTAAATGTTGATTCGTCTTGTGCCCCAGCATATCCTTGGCAGGCCGCATGTGGTCCGTGGCTTGAGGATGCCTTGTTTGGTTGCCATATTCAGCTTGTCTCTCAATCAGGGAGTATATGTTTACAATGCTTAATGGTTCTTTGTCTACCAGTCCCTTGAGCATTAGATACTGTCCTTCCTTATCTCTTTTTATGGTTTGTACTTTGAGGTCAATTTTATCTGAGATTAGGATTGAAACCTCTGCTTTTTTTTGAATTGCTGTTTGTTTGGTATGCCTTTCTCCAACCTTTTATTCTCAGCCTATTGTCTGTAGCCTTGAGATGTGTCTCCTTTTGGCAGCACGTTGATGGGTTGTTTTCTAAGCCAGTATGGTAATCTCAATTTTTTAAGGCTGAGTTCTGGTTTATTATCTCCATCTGAGGACTCTGTGCTGTCATCTTAGATTTTTGGGGGTTTTTTTGTTTGTTTTGGGTTTTTTCGTGTGTGTGTGTGTGTGTGTGTGTGTGAGAGAGAGAGAGACAGATCACTTTCCATCCCTAAGCCAATGCTATCTTGGGGTCTGTTTTGTCTTTGTTGCCCTCTGGGTAAGGTTGTTCTATGTGGTGGTCTCTTATTTATGCTTGGTGAGTGTTGTTCTTCTGCCCGTACTGGGTCATCAAGGATTTTTTGTAATGCTGGGCTCCTTTAACTTATTCTTTGAGTTTTTCCTTGTCTGAGAAGACTCTTTTCCATTTCTCTTGATTGATGATTTGGCTGGTTAGAGTATTCTTGGGTTTGAGTTGTTTTCCTTCAATTTTTGGATTATGTTACTCCACTCTTCTTTATAGTTTCTGCTCATAGGTCTGAGCATATTCTTATTTGGGAACCTTTATATGTGATTGCTTGTTTTTCCCTCGCTGCTCTCATGATTTTCTCCTTTTCCTCAAAGTTTGATAGTTTAACATGATGCCTGGGTTTCATTAAGCTGGGGAAGTTTTCCTCCAAGGATTCTCTCAATTGTTGCAGATGACTTCTTTGTTATGTTTTCCTCTAGTAATCCAATTATTCTGATGTTTTTCTTCTTCATAGCATCAGACATAGCTCTTAGGTTATCTTCAGCCTTTCTGATCATCTGATTTAGATTTTTGTTCACGTTTTTTAAAGTCTGCTTCGCTGTCCTCCAAGTCACTGCTGCAGTTCTCTACTTCCTCCAGTCAATTCTTGAGGTCCATGAGTCCTACTGGTTTTTTTAATCTCCTCCCTAACCTCTTGTATTTCCCTTTGGTGTATGGACTTTTATCTCCTCTATCATTTCATTCTCTTTCTGTATTGTTTGCCTTCCTGTCCTCTATGACTCCAAGCAGCATTGTGAAAATTTCTTTCTGTGACAGGTCAGTGTCTGCTTCTATGCATGTCTTTGGGTTCAGGACATCTTTTGCCATTGCCTTTTGTTTCTTCTGTTTTTTCGTTGAGGTCATTGGGGCTGATGGCTGATTGCATTGCATTGTTTTAGAGGAGCCAGATGGCATTTTCCAGGGAGTCAAAGAGCACTGGCTCTCTCTGGGATACTCGTAGGAATGTTTCTTCAAACTACCTACAGCTAATTTCACTATGGAATTAGCCTACCACTTTATCCTCCTGTGGCTTCACTCTCAAGTGGGGTGCCCCAGAACACTGGTGGGTTTCCTGCTTTGGTGTAGAACACCGTGAATGGTGGCCGGAATTGTTCAGGCCAGGTAGATCACTGCAGAGGTTCCTGCAGCAGCTTGGAACATTGGTGAGTGTTGACTGAGCTGCCTTAGGTCATGTGAGGCACTAAGGTAGGCAGGAGGAAGTTCCCTCAGTCACATGGGACAACAGGAAAAATAGGAGCTCCCCCAGCCACACAGGCAGGAATTACCAGGTGAGAAGTTGGCTGGAGTATCCCCTGGGGCAAGTCAGCCGGGCTTCCCCAGCCTCGGGCTACACTGCACAGGGCGAAGCTCACCTAACTAAGTGTGGGGCAGGCGTAAATGCCCTAGGCTAAGGTTAGTGGTTTGGAGGTCACCAATAGTGTCTGCGAACAGGGAAGAGACAAAGAGAAAAAAACAAAACAAAAACCATGCCTGCTGAGACTATGGGAGGATAGAGAGAAGAGAGGGAAACAGAAGTAACAATATAGCTGTGCCCCCACTCCCTGCCCGGGGGACTGCAAGAGTTTAATCCTTGCCCCAAGGCCAGTAGTAAGCTGTGGCTGTGTTGAGATTAATCCCCCGGGCCAGCTCCAAATGGTCCTGGCTCTGGCTTAGACAGTGGCAGTGCTAAGGTCAAATCCTAGCCGGCCTCCACTGTGATAAGCCAAAAGCCCCTAGACCCCCAAAACCTTCTGGATTTGTGCTTACTTACCTTTATGATGCTCCTGCTATCCAGTAGTGTTGAATTTCCCTCTTAGTAACTCTCCTGGGCTGATTTCTGCAGAGTCCCCCTGGTATTTGTTACTCATTTGCAATCTTCCTGGAAGTCCATAAAATACCATTTCCATCCAGAGAATTTGCAACATATCAGTCACACAAAACGCAGGAAGCATAGGTACACATTCTTGACAAATGTAATAACTGGATGAATGAACAATATGTTTTGAGGATGTACAAAGGGGAGAGAAATCTTCATTTGAACAGTGGGATGAGTGAAAGTATAGGTTCTTACTAATTTTATTTATACATAGATCATTCGGTGGTCATTTTTTACCATCTTATAAAACTTTTGAAAATAGTAAAAACAGGACACAAAAGAAAAGGTACTTGATTAAAACATAGGCTTGCATAATTGGGGTGAGGTTTTGCTAGTGTATAGACTATTGGGGTTCTACCTTACTGCTAACTCTAATTCCCTTTTTATTAATATTTTTAAGCTGTTATATATATCTCAAGATAAAATACCTTCTATGTCACAAAAATACTGAGTTAGCCTCTGTATGTTCTGGCACTGTAGTTTTAAATGTAAAAGTGGATTCTTAATGTATTTTAATTATTTTTTCTCTTGCATTAGAAATAGCTTTTGTTAATCAATTTGGTACCAGACCCAGTACTTACAATGTCTTGATGTTTAAATGTTTCTAATGTCTTGATGCCATATGTCTTTAAGAAGAATTGCTAGAAAGAAGCCTTTGCAGTCATTAGGGAAAAACACATGCTGGTCGTTTGTAATTGCTTTCTTCACTATACATTTGATTCTTAGTTCAAATTAATATCGTCAAAACCAACTCACTACCTTTGAACCAATTCTGTCAGTTAACCTCCCTATAAGGCAGAGTAGAACTGTGCTGAAGGGGGTTTCTGAGGCTATACAAGGTTACCGGAACATAATTCCTCATTTTCTCAGAGCCACTGAGGATTTCAAACTACTGATCTTGTGGTTAGCAACCCAGTGCAGTTCCTTCATTGAGGGCATAGGATAGATCGATAGTAAGTAGACCTGCTCCCTCCACAATTTTCCAAGGCAGTTAAATGTTTAAAGATGCAAATGACCTTATCTTTCTCCTGTGGAGGGGCTGATTGGTTAGCAGCCAGTTGAGAATTAGGAAGTTGTAGGAGAGCTATGTGGAAACTCTTTATCATATTATGTATCTATATTTTTGAGCTAGTACTGTATTTTAAAGTTCCGTTTTCTCATTTGTGATTTGTAGAGAGAGAAGAAGACGAAGAAGCAGGAGTGGAACAAGGTCCCCCAAGAAACCCAGGTCTCCTAAAAGAAAGATGTCTCGCTCACCATCCCCTAGAAGGTAAAAAAGTGAACATCTCGATTTATTCTTTAATTTTTCAGAAGTTGGTTAATATTTTAAAACTGTCCCGTAGTTTTCTACCTTTTTCCAGTATTCAAGAGCTTAGGAATGTATTACAGTTTGGAGACACTGGTAATATAAAAGGCTGTAGGGTTTGGAAAAATTATGTTTGCCTGTATATCTTGATCATAGCTTATTACCTTTTTGTCCGGTGTTTTGAAATTTAATTTTCACTATCGTATATTGTGTAAACTTGGATGAAAAGCATTCTAACAAGTTAAAACTTGGTTCTACACTTCAAGTTGAAACTTTCTGGAGCTTTTTCAAGCATCTTTCATTTAACATATTCTTCTGGTTCTTTAGGCATAAAAAGGAGAAAAAGAAAGACAAAGACAAAGAGAGGAGTAGAGATGAAAGAGAACGATCCACAAGCAAGAAGAAGAAGAGTAAAGACAAAGAAAAAGATCGGGAAAGAAAGTCAGAGAGTGACAAAGATGTCAAAGTATGTTTACAAACTAATGTCTTTTGGTACTTTTAATGAGTTGGTACTTTTAAGAAGTGAGTTTTCTTTGAAGAAGTTTACGTTGTTTATTTCCTTGGCAAAGCAGGTTACACGGGATTACGATGAAGAGGAACAGGGATATGACAGCGAGAAGGAGAAAAAGGAAGAGAAGAAGCCAACAGAAGCAGGTTCCCCGAAAACAAAGGAATGTTCCGTCGAAAAGGGAACTGGTGATTCACTAAGGGAATCCAAAGTGAATGGGGATGACCATCATGAAGAAGACATGGATATGAGTGACTGAATATTGTTGCCTCTACAGGTATTCAACTGTATACATGCATCAGTGTCATTCCTTTGTGTGATTTCTTAATGCTGTATTTGTTCATCTCAAATCTAGATGTATACAGCTCTGAGTTATAAATGGTTATATAAAGCTCCCGATATTGACATTAGTTACTTACACCAAAAGCTTATAGAAATGATAACACGGGCAATGTACTGTGGAATCTGATTGAGTGAAAAAGCAGTTTTACTATTCTGGTGCTGCTTTATCAAAATGAAAAGCTGCATGCATCTACAGCAGGCATGGATTGTTTATGTTGTATGATCACCTTTATTAAGTATGTTCACTTATAGTATTTCTAGAATTTGATTCATTGCCGTAATACAGCCATGTAGGGAATGCACTGATTGCATGTTAATTGTGGCAGGAATATCCTAAATGTCATTAGAATCCCTCAACATGATGGATCTTACTTATGGTCTTGTTTGTTGACATGACAAATTAACATTGTTATAGTTACATCTGAAAATGAACATTTGAAATAGATAATCCTATAAGCCATGTGGCTAAATTTTGTGGCTTTTGTTTAACTTTGAGAGGTTATATATGCACTAACCCTTTTTTGATGGCTAAATTAGGCTTTAATTACAAAAAAATTTCAAATAAAATTTTGGCAGTGAGTGAATACCAGCCTATTTTTTAAAAGTTGTATACTTTTCAATAAGGTCTTTGGGATTTCCTCCCCCCCACCACCACCGCCCCTTGGAGTAATTTATTCCACATCAACGTCAGTGAATGGTACCTCCTTATCCTGAGGTCCATTTGTAAAAGAAAAATTTCCTTTTATTATTTGTTTTAAGCTCAGTGTTGGAAAAAGAGTGTAGTGCATTTTAAATTGACCTTCATATGCTTTTAAAATAAGACAAATCGACTTGATAATGTACTTTTTATTTGATCTCAAGTTGTATAAAACCAGTAAATTTGTGTTAACTGTTACTGTGGTAGTAATCTTAATGCACACAGTGATTCCATGTTATATGCAACGTAGTTAGACAGCTGTTTTCTTAGTTACAGGAGTTTCAAGCTTCACTTTTGTGCAGTAAAAACAAAAGTAGGCTTCAGTCTGTGCCATGTTGATGTACAGTTTCTGAAATTGTTTTACAAGACTTTGATAATAAAACCCTTAAACTTACGTTTATGTCCTATAAACCTGTATTTGTATTTATTCACAGTAGTGAGTACATGACATTTACCTCATTCATTTTTCATGTGGAAAGATGGAGTCCATTGTAGTGATTAATTGCGTTCAGAATTGTCGAGGTTGATTCTGTTTTTAACCCCGTTTTTCTTTTGATAGTGATTTCACATTTTGGGTGTGAAAATTGGATTTGAATAAAGCTATGTAGGCTTTAGGGTGAACAAATGAGCTCACCTGTACTTAGAAAATATACTTTCATTGAATTACAGATGATTTTTCTGGAACAAAACTAAAGCTGTTAGTGGTATGTACTGTGAAATACACAAGATTTATAAAATGAGTAGTGTTTGGATATCTGAGATTAAGGGGGAAAGAGACTATACTTGTAACTTTCCAAGTTTTAGTACTTTTTAATAAGTGAAATGTGAAAAAGCAGTGGTATTTTTTAACAGTTCTATAGTAATATTTTTAGAGAGTTCTATAAAAAAATGTTGTCTATGGTATGGTAGGATTAGTGGTGACCCTAATAATCACTGCACTTTTAAAACGAAGTTGGCTCCAAATTATATATACTTCAGCTTTTAAAACTTAGTTGATTAAAGGTTGGCAACATGAAACGTGGTTTAACCTAATATTTTTATACTACGCTGACGGGTAACCTTTGACTACAAGTAGTTACCTCTTAAACGGATCAAGAAACAGGGTGTAAAATAGGAAGGGAATCTAATACTCTCCACTTCGTCACTGAACATTTTTTTTTGCAGAAAGGTAGGGTTGCATTAGGACATAAGCCTTTAGTATTTTGTTCTGTATTGATAGTTAAAATCATTAGAAAATAAAAGTAGTTTTGTTAGAAAATTTTTGGCTTTGTTTGCTTACATGCCTCAGTGATGCATGAAGGTAGTGATGGTACACCAAGCCGTTTTAATTTGGGTGAAGTTGAAGTTTTACCTAAGCTGAGAGATCTTTGGTTTCCTTTATGTACAATGAAAGTGATACTTTCTTATGGTTAGGAAAGGAAAAAATATGCCACAATCAGTAAAACGTCATATTGTGTATCTTTTTAAAACATCATTTAGTTTGATTCTATTATCAAAAGAAATGAGTGTTTATATTGAGAAGGCTTTTTGTGAATGCAATTTTCAATAAGCTTGCTACAGGTAGATTACCCTGGACGTGGAAACAGAAAAGCAAGCACTTGAGGGGAAAGGTAGAGAACCTGAGCTTCTATTAGAAAATTAAAACTAACTGTACTCTTAACCTAGAGGTGTTCCTCAGAACTGGGTCACTTTCTATGAGAGCCATTGTATTGCCTGCATAATATCAATCACTTTCCTCATTTGGGTACCAAATAGAATGTTAGAGTTGTTCCTTAGTCTGTCTCAAATCTGATTTAGTGTATTTCAACAGTCTTACTTTAAATATTTTGGAATTCTATGCAGTTGTTTACTTGTCTCCATGAACGTTTTGAAGACCTCTTTGTACTAAATAGGATATAATAGCAGATGTTAAACACTATTTTCTAATTGAGATGCTAAAATTATACATACATAATTCTGGTTTACTTGGTATATTATTCCTGTTAACATTTCATTATGCCATAGTGTAGATATTACTTAACAAAATAACTTAAATATTTTGGACTATTTCTTAATAGGCAACATACTTAATATATTAAGGTGTCTCACTGAAGATAGTAAATTACTAACAATCAAAGGCAATTAGTTACACAGTTTGTAAAGGGACACAGTTCCTTCTCCACAGTCTCACTTTGTTTTTACTTTTCCAGTGTACAGGTGTTTGTTTTTTAAGGTAACTCAAAGTGGAAGTTTATGCCTCTAGAAAGTTCCAAAGGATGTGTTATTAGTTATCACAAAACGTTATATTTCAAGGTGGTTTTTTTTCTGCCTAGTATTTGAAATACAAATCAAACGTTTTGGAGAAACATTAATATTTAAACACTATTCAGTCATGTTTCAATCAGAACGGGGAGTTACTCGGAGAGATTAAGAGATTTGACTTTAGCATTATGACAGTCTTGTTAATCTGCTTCTCAAACTGAAACTTGAAATCCAGATTGTTGGGGAGGGAAGACTTAATGATTGGCTGGAGATAACTATCATCTGAATACAATGCAAGCTGTAGCCTACAGCATGGACTGTAAATGCTTTATGACCTTGGGGGCTAGGGAAGCCCTTTGAAAATGAATCTAAGTGCCCATAATCCATATAATCTGGAGGAGGTTGCAAGGAAAGAGTGTAATGATTACATTCTCATCCCAGTAAGAATTAGCAGATAGCTACAAAATGGAAGCTGCCCCATTGCTGTTTTCCCAACACTCCAGCACTAATAATAATGTCTCCCTTTAAAAACATCCCAGCCAATCATTATTCCGCTTTAGTGCCTTAGTAGATGCCATTGGGCCAATTCTGACTCGGGACCCACCCCTTCATGTACCAGATGATTGAGACCATGGTTAGTTCGGTCACTGCCAATCCATCCTGTAGAGAAGCTCTTTTCCGTTGCTCCTCTGCTAAGCATACTCTTTAGCAGGGACTGGTCTCATGGTAACACATGTTCAAAGTTTGTGAGGCCTAGTCTCTCCGTCACTGCTTCTGAGCATTCTGGCTATACTTGGTCAAAACAAATACATTCGTTCTTTTGGCACTCCGTGGTACTTTTAATACTCACCAGCCCTGTAATTCAAACGTCAATTCAGTCTTCCTTAATATCCAGCTTCCCCATGCGTATGAAGCTATTAAAATACTAAGTGTTGGATCAGGAACACTTTAGTACTCTTTAACACTTGTAGAGTGCAGATTTACTGAATGCAATGCATTTTTTTATTTCAAAGGCTGCTTCCATGAGCATTGTGTGTTCAAGCAAGACAAAATCCTTGACAACTTAAATCTTAACATGTTGGTCCACTTCTGGAAAGTTATGTCTTTTTTATTCTTACAATTTTACTGTACAGAATTTCTCATGGGACGGCAAGTGTGTCCTCTCAGCTTGGTAAATTTTCGAATGGCTGATGAGGCCAGTCGGGATACTTGGTCTTACCTAATTTGGTTTCAGGGAAGACTTTGTGCATGTCAATTGTCATCTGGTCAAATGGAATGATGTTCCTCATCATCTACAGCTGTTTCTCATACTCCTCAATCCTGGCCTTTGCAAGTCTTGACATCTTTTTCTTCAGCATCTGCCAGGGCAGTAAATTTATCTTCTATCACAGGGAAGCTGGCCTTGGCCATGTAGGTTTGTTGTAAGCCCAGTCATAGCGGGAGGCACCTCAGGAGAACCTGCCAACCAGTGAGTTGGCAACAGCCTTTTGGTTTCAGTTTAATGTCCCCAAAGGCTGTCCACTTGAGGGCGTTTAGAGAAGAGTTTCCGTCCAGCCATCTGGGGATCCTTCACTGACCTGAGCTGCACGCAGCTCCAGCTGAAAATTGTGTTTTCTTTACATTGAGTTGTAATCCTTGATTGTTGGCAATTATTTCAAGTACTACTCACTTTCAACAAGCAAGGTTGTGTCATTTTTCTATTAAGCTGTTAAATCTTCCTCTAATAATACTTAACTTGTATTATAATCTAGTTTCTTGGGATTATGTGCTCAGCATACAGATTGAATTAAGTATGGTGAGAGGATGTAATCTTTAGGTGCACACCATTCTTAGTTTTTTATCTGATTTCTCTTGACCATCTTAACCTAACTACATCTGCCATAATTAACTTTATAATGCCCTCTGATAACAAGGCTGTTCATGTCCCTGAACCATAATCAGAAGGGATTCTCTGTTCACAATTAGGATTTGGATAAATCATAATCCTTGGATCACACAGGCATTGTGCTTCTTGCATGTAGACTGGTTGATGCCTCACTTAGATTGCTATTTCATGACAAGCCTTTAAAACCCCATGCACTATTCCTAAGACAACCACCATGATGGCAACCGAGTAGCACACGTGGGAGGGATTCCAAACAGACCACCGCAAAGGGTCCACAGAAAGGGACATCCTACACTTGTGGACCACGAGATTCTCAGCATTAGACACAAATTTTTCAAAATAAAAGCAACATCTGGTGAAAGACTACCTTGGCACGGGCCCTTTAGCAGACAGAACAGATTCCCAAATCTCCCAACCGATTTTTCCCAATCTGAGTGGCTGACTGGCCAAGCTGCAGGGACATCTGCTCCACCCTTATCAGCCTAGGACCAAATCCAAGGGTGTTCTGAACTCATAACCTTGAAGCCTTACCTCCCCAATTGCAGGGATAGCACAGCCTACCAATCGACATGGGGATAACTACAGGGCAGCCTGGAGTGGGCATAAAGAGCGAGTAGACTAACCACACAATCCAGGGGAGCTCCAGGCCCATTTGGAAAAACTAATCCCCCCCCTTCCCTGAGCTACAGTTCTGTATGCCGCCCCGCCCCAAAAGCACAGTTGTCACTGGTTTTTTTTTAAACTTGTTTATAACACACCTGGTCGATTCACAATGTATTGCCTAACTAAAAGTTAGGGAACTGCAACAGTGATACTACAAAGCACAGGCAGGAAGTTTGAGAGGAGGACTTAAAGGCCCAGGGCCCAGAAGCCTCTTCCGGCTCACATACCTACCTTGCTATTCACCAGCTTTCTTATGACTCCAGCCAGCCCCTGGTTAGCACCCCAAGCCATTCAAAGAAGCACCCTACCCTCTGATTTAAGTTAATCCCTCCCGGATGACCTTTGTAGGTGGCAGTTATAGACCCCACTCCCCAACCCCATCTTGGTTGTTTCCATTATCCAAAAAGTAATTAACCTAAATAGGGTACTTAACCTAAATAATACATGATTCCCAACATAGCAGAGAGCATCTCATCCCTGAAAGACAACAGGGTAGTACAACATACTACCTGGCACTCTCCCCAACTGCTTAAAAGACCTGCTCTTTTAAGATCTCTGGGGTCTTCAAAAGATCCCAGCTGTTCTTTGGTTGGTGGTGTTGCTTTGTGTTGTATCATTCCCACACACTCCCCATATTTCAAAGTTGGCATTATTATAATTATCCTTAATCAGAACTTTCCCATGTCTTGGTATATGTAAGGACTGGGGGAAATTATTACTTTACATTTTTGCTTTCAGTTTGTTTTCTAGTCCCTCAACACCTCATCAGTCCAGATTTAGCACAGCAAAGACAAAGCTCCTGGGCAAAACTTAGCCCAAGCATATAATAACGTTATCCTGTGTCTGCTATTTTTAATACTTCTGTCTTGAGCCCTTTAAGTTTTTCATAGCCCCCTTTTTTTCCATCTTGCTAATTTACGTCCAAAAGCTAACACTACTCTTGCAAATTTTCTATAAAATATTATTGCCCATTCCTCCATCGTTGCAAAACAGCCATTTTTTGGTTCTAATTTCCTATAAAGTATCTTCCACTCTTCTACTGTACCACCTAACACAATTAATTACTCCAATATAACCCCATAACCCTAACACCCCTAATAGCCATTCCAAGATGTCAAGGGAACAACAAAAGATCTCTCTCTCTCTCTCTCTCTCTCTCTCTCTCTCTCTCTCTCTCTCTCTCTCTCTCTCTCTCCACAGCAGAGCTAGAAACCTCACAGCATGCTATATAAGGAAAATGCCAAACACTACAAGAATTACACAATACGATAAAACAGAAACAACCGAAAAGTGAGCTTGAAGACAAAACCTATAGACTCCAATCTGAAAGAACAAATAACAAGAAAAGCTTAAGAAATATGTGGGACACCCGAGGGTCTGCCTACATCACACAGGGCCTCCAGAAGAGGGAGAGACACAAGCCCGCACACAGTCCAGGAACTACTGCAGGAAACCTGCAAGACCTAAAGGATGAGAAGATAGCTCATCCAGGAGTAGCCCCATAAGGGAAAAATTCAAAGAGCAGAGAGAAAAAAGAACAATTACATACAAAGGATCAGCAATTAGAATAACAGATTTCTTGATAGAAACCAAGCTAGAAGATAATGGAGTGACATATATAGAATACTGGGGAAGGGGTGAGGGTGGAGGGGCTCGGTCAACCTAGAAGCTTGTACTCAGGAAAAATATCAAATACTGATGGAGAAATAAATGTATCCAAAGACTAGGAGAAATTAAAAGTATTCATAAAACAAGGACATCACTACAAAAAACTCAAACACTATAGCCAAAAACAAACCACAAAACCTGAAAGGAACATACAATTCCTTAGACACTATTTCTTCTGATAGTATCTTTCAATATTGCAAATTACGGTCGTAACCTCTTGTACTCTTTCAGTTTGAGATATGTTGAGTGCACTTCCTTTTGGGTTTTCTAACATGGACTGTGCACACATTTCATGAATTTTTCTTGAGCTGCCCTTTGAAATTATCTGTTCATTTTTGGTTTTCCTTCATTTGTTCCATTTGCCTTAGCTACTCTACGATTAAGATTAAGTTTCAGAGTCTCAGAAGAGACTGTAACATCCACTTTGATATTTTCATTTGAACAACCTTTTTCTTTACCCATGTATATTTTTAATGTCATCACACAGCTTATCAGTTCTTGTCATTACTATTCAACACAAATCTGTTCTTGAGATGGTTCTGTAATTCCTTTGTGATACACTCCAGGTCATTATTTGGCTCACAGGGACTTTTGAATTTTCTACAGCTTCAACCTGAGCACACACATCAGCAATTGATGTTCTGTTTACAATCGTCCCTTTGCCTCCTGTTAGCTGCTGGCTGTCTCTCCTCGTCTCTTCCCAGATTTGTTTTCTGCGTCGTCGGAGAAGTCCATCTGGAGAAGTCCATGTGTATAGTACCATTTGTGTTGTTATTTGTAATGAGCTCATTGGTCTTGCAAAACTGTAGCATGCACTCTACAGCTTGGTCTCTGTTGTAAGGGGGAGAGGCAGTGTTTGGTTACCCAGTAAGCAAGGTTTAAGTGCTTGTGGCGAAACTGCCCATTACATACATCTCCACTGCATTGTCTTTATATTTGATGTTTATTTGCTATGAAAATGTAGACCACGTTCATATTCATTGTGCATATCCATAGATAGGTATGCCACACAGAAGAAATTCAAGATTAGAATGAGCTAGGTTTTGTGCCAACATGGCTCCTTGTAAGAACATGTGGGCAGAGTAAAGCCTGTCAATCAGGTCACAGCCAATTGGAGGGCAACCCTGGTAAATGGCTTTCCCAGGCCGGCCTCCTAGAAGCAGGCCACACACTCTTTGCCTTCACCTTCCTGTTGACAAGCCATGCTGAGACCTGGAAAAGCCCTGGAAATGCTTCTACTGCCACTGAATCCACAAGACTTTGCACCCTTTTCTATCTGCATTTTGAATCATTGCATGTGTTGTCTAAATCTGAGGAGGGATTTATGGATGGGTATCAGGTATAATATGGGCTGATATTGGGCTTATGGACTTGTTCTGGACTGGGATGTTTTAATGTACATTTACTCTTTGATATGAGTGTCTTTGGATTCGTTTCTCTAAGAGCAACCCAATCTAACACAGAAGGCTTAGAAGAAACCCACTTTGGATATATATTTGTCTCAAGTGGATAAAAGTCAGCATAAATGGTAGGAGGTAAATGTAAACAGTGTTAGGCGCAAACGATACCACACAGGAACTTAAAGCGGAGGGTAGCAACTCTTGATAAAGTATTTTTTTAAAGTATTCATTTATGTTCTTTGCTTCAAAACAAGTTATTTGCCAGTTCTGCTGTCTAAATCATGTTTCCAAACGTATTTGGCCTAAAAAACCCTTTTCAAAAAAAAAAAAGGGAGGGGGTGGATCACTCAGCAACTCCCACCCCTTGCAGCCAGAAACTTTTGTACTATCACCTACAATCCAGGATGAAATGCAGTTATCTACCTTTGCAGCCCCACCAGGAGGCAGCATCAACCACTTTGGGAAACAAGGTGTAAATTAGTAGCATAAAAGCCCATTTTACAAAAATTCAATAACCAGTTCTAAGTGGGGGCGGAAACAGCTTTCCACTTTTGTCTATCATTGTGACCAATTTTTAAATGTATCCTTTGTTACACCACCACATATATTTTATGGCTACAATCAGGGCATTTGATTCTTTCCTTTTATGAAATTCGACAATAGAACAGCTCTAGAAAACAATTCTTGCAGGAATATTAAGCATTGTAAATGGGTTAAGGTCTGCCTAGTTTTATTTAAGAGCTTTTTAAATCCTATCACAAATAGAAGGCACCATGATCTTACTACAAAATCTAAATTTTCTTGTAAAATTACTAAAACACATGGTTGTTTTGATCTGTTCGTTTGAAACACAGAATGTAGCTTGGTTCATTAACTAAATTAAAAGGCACAGTTTGAAATATCTAAAGTTTATTCACTGGCATTTGCTTGTCCTTTGTGATCAGGAAAAAGACATTTTGGAATGGATAATGTTTCTATGGTTCTTTAAGAAAAATAGTATGCCTTAAAACCAAAATCCAAGTGCAAACATTTTCAGTAGTTTCCCTCCAGGATGCCCCGGCAAAGTAGTCCCAGATTGTATGGAACCAATACATTCCCAGCTGCAATTCACCGTGATTGTTTCCCCTGTCCGTGTCATCACGGAGGAAAACAGCAGTAAATTCCAGAAATTCAGTTGGTTATCCACACAGTGATCACTGCCCTTCAGTGGATCAATTCTCACAGAACCCATGGAAATATAATTCAATCTCTGACTCACTTGCTCTCTCAGCCATTTCTAAAATAAGAAATTTGTAATCAAGAAAGCCCATCAGACTTGAAGTATCATTATTTTCCTTTGTTATAAAAGGTGTTGATAAAATGTCAACCAACATACACAATGCAGTATGTGGAATATGTTTCGTTTTATTACTAAATTAATGTTTATTTATTTAAAGATACAAAGTATCTTTAAATAAATCTCTTCAATAACGATCTTTAAACCCATTTCAAATTCTCCTGGAAAAAGTAAACCATTTGCACTCTAAGATACTTGACAGATGTGTTCTGAAATTCATCAGGATACATAATTTTAAAATCACCTTTAAAAAAAATGCGCTTTACACAATTGATGTGTGTATGGATTGGGATAACAGTTGTATGAGCCCCCAATAAAATGATTCTTTTAAAAGAAAAAAAAATTCCCTTTAAGCTCTTTAATACAACTTGATACTTAGTGACTGTTATACATTATTCTCCCTAACCTCATTCTTAGACCTTTAAATCATACTGGAATAAATAGGAGATATTTATGTGCAAAATTTGTAATGCATGATTTTAACACTAAGTGGCAATTCAAATTAATGTTTTCTATGACTTAAAAAAATGAAACCATAGGAATTGTCAGTCTTGGGTAGGTTTCTGGAATTGGTAGCAAATATACTCAGTTGGCATATAAAATGTTTTTACCTTATTTTGAAAGAAATAATGTATGGATGTCCAAAATATGTTAGTTTAAAAAATGACACCAATGCATTCATGTCCACTATACACAAAATAATGTGACTGATGTGCACTTATTAAGAAGCAAGTTTAAAATTTTGAATTTTTTAAAGTGCTGACAATTTGGAAAGTAAATATTTTTAAGCATGCTCACCGTATCTTTTCATTAACATATAAGAACTTTTAAACTCAAGTTTAGAAAAAAATAATAGAAGTCCTATGAAAGGAAGATTAGTAACATTTTCCAGTGAAGAATTCAAGTAAAAACAAATAGCACCACAATGAATTGCACTAAGGTGCTAAAGGAGGTACCTTATTCCCTGCAGAGTGAACGCTCTTCCTGAAATGCATTGCAACGTATAAATGCAACTGTTTAATGGTTACCATTTGGTTCATTCATCTACAGAAAATTGCATTCCTTCTAGTTCATTATATTGAACAAACATTCAGATTACTGAAATATACATAATGTTACAGTTTATATTTTATGAAAACAAAGCTTGAAGGAATATTTATAAATATCACCTTGAATATAAGATGACAGGTTTAAAAGGACTTCATATCTTAAGACATTTAATTTATGTTAATGGTCCTGGAGTGTTCTATATATTTTTTTATATGCATATATATATTTCAACAAGTGTAAAAATTTTTAAAAACAAATCACAGCCAGCACTCTTAGCTGTTACAGGAGAAGGTATTAGGGCTATTAAGGTGTCACTATTACGCTTTGTTATGTAAATTTTTTAAAAGACAAAATACCACATCAATAAATGGTGAAATTCTTATTAGATGCCCATTTCATTTGTCTTGTGAGTGATATGTCAAATCAATGTCTTTGATTCCCTTTCTCTTCGCTGAGTCGATCCTTTCTATTTGGATCCAGTTCTGGGGTCCCTTCATTCTCTTGCTGTCCTTGAAATCATTTTCCAGGTCAGTTAAAGATCAGGAAAGCGGCTTGGATCTTCCTTGTAGTCATCAGGAATAGTGAAGATTGCACTGTCAAATTCAGTATATCGAAACTCCTGAAACGTCACAGTGGCTGTGATCGTGGGAAACACGGGTATATCTACAAAGTGAACATACATTGATAAGAACATCGTAAAATCAAGTATTCATCTATAAGTTACAAAAATAGGCAGACATGTCCATACTCCTTGAAACACAAGAAAGCATTCCCCCCCAAAGAGCAAACAACAGTCTTACGCTCGATCTAATACCACGGACGTGTGTCTTGAGAAGGGTTTGATTTTAAGGAGGGTAAGCGAACTAGGCACGCCAAGAATGAGACCACAAACACAACTCTCTTTACCTGCTTAAATCCTGGTATTTTACAGAGAAAGTAAACATTTCATGCTACAGAAAAATCTATTTTACATGCTGCTTGAATCCAAGAATTATGGCTTACTACCTGGCTTGTTTTGGAAAGAATGAACATTTGTTTGTTTGTTTGTTTTAATGGCTGAAAGAAAAAAAATACCCAAATATTTTGTAATGTGAAAATTTATATAAATTCAAATTTCTGTAGTCATAAAGTTTCATTGGAATATCGCTTTGGCTATTTTCTCTTTCCAACAGAAGCATTATGATATAGAACTCTTAGGATAAAAAACACACAGACCCACAAAAATTAAAATATTTACTACATGGCCCTTTCACAAAAAGTTTATTTATCCCTGTTACAGGCAATAGATATGTGTCCTCAAAACATCTTGCATTGTAGAAAGGACATTCTGGTTGGCAGAGGTTGTTAAACAATTATAAAGACTAAAGTTATGAAAAGTAAAGCAGGCTAGAGGAACAAGGAGTGACAATGAGTTACTGATAGAACGTCCCTGGGAGTGAAGAAGTAAGGTCTCTCAGCAAAGACCTAAGGCAAACAGCAAGTCATGCAGTTACCTGGAAGAAAATTTGAAGTACAGGGTGCAAAAAGCATAAATGTTGTAAACAGAGAGCATTTTATTTGCTCTAGGAATCAACAAGCCCTGATGACACTGGCTGCACCTGAATGAAGGGAGACCAGCTGGTGTCCGAGGCAGCCAGATCACCTGGGGTTGGGTCAAATGAAAAGCTCACGGGCACTCCGAATGAGACTGAAAGGCATCATAGGTTATAAGCAGAAGAGGAACTTAGCTTCTCAGATAAAATGAGAACAAATTGTGAAGGGGAGAGATGCTCCTGAAAGAGGAACCAGTTAGAAAACAAAACTAGGAAAGAAATCTCTCCCCCAAAAAGTCTGAAGATCATTATAGGCCCCAAAATAGGTCTCAGCAGATTCCAAAGATTTTCCCGTTTTTATTCAATGATATCATAGTTTCACACTTTACAAATCTAGTGTATAATGCATTTTAAGTTTTTTATTAAGTTGTGAAATTTAGGTTGAGGGATTTGCTTTGTGTTGTTTTGTTTTTTAACTTCTAGCACCATCTGTTGAAAACACTATCATTGAGTATCTTCACCTTTGTCTAAAGTCATCTGACATGTGTAGGTCTATTTCTGGATTCTGTTTTCTTAAGCTTATCTACATACCTATCCTTGTTAGTGCCACATAGTCTTGATTACTGTCCGTATAAAAATCAGAGCTGAAGCTAGTTCCTTTTCCTTTCAATCACCTTATCTAATTCTACCAAAAATCTTGAGATTTTATTAAGATGTATGTTAAACCTATGCATCCATTTGATGACTGACATTTTCATTAGGCCGAGTCTTCCAATTCATGAACATAGTGTAAGTCTCTCTTCTATCTCCTGATTTCTTTTCTCACTGTTGTGAAGTTTTCAGCATACAAGCAATACACGTGCTTAATTAGATTTACTCCTAAGTATTTTCATTTTTGTATAAACAACTGAAAATAGTATTAAATTTTAACTTGACTACATATTCAATGGTAACATGTAAAAATACCATTTACTTTTATATTACTAATGTATCCTGTGGCTTTGCCCAGTTCACTTCAGTTTTTAAGAGGATTTTTACTGTAGCATCTTAATGATTTTGTACATAAACACATAATCTGTAAATAACACGATTTTTTCCCCTTCTAGTCTAAATACCTTTTGTTTCCTCTTCTGGCCTTAGTGCACTAGCTATAACTTTTAAGAGCTGTCTATGTGTGAATTCTGAAAGCTGATAAACTCTGTTTCCAATCTTAGGGGGGGGTGAACATTTTTCTTAGCATCTTTCAGCATTAAATGTGAATTTTATAGATGCTCTTCTGTTCTTTATCAAAATAACAAAGGTCTCCATTCCTATGTTTCTCAGACATTTTATTATAAAACTGAATTTTCTCCAATCCAATTCCTGGTTTACCTGATAAGATCATGTGCTTTTTCTTAAAGCTGTTAATAATGTGTATTATACTGCCTTTCAAATAATAATCTAAAGTTTCACTCTTGTAATAAACTTCTCTTATTAAGGAGCCCTGGTGGCACAGTGGTTACATGTTGTGTAACACTGTTAACTGAAAGGTCAACAGTTCAAAACCACCTGCCACTCTGAGGGAGAAAGTCGAGGCTTTCTACTCCCATATAGGGTTCATCTCAGAAACACACCCTAACAGTTCTACTCTGTCCGATAGGATCACTATCAGTCAGACTTGACAGCAGTGAGTAACGTAGGGCGTGGGTGAGTGGTGTGTGTGTATATTATGGTGTATTAAGGAGCTCTGATAGCTCTGTTGAATAAGTATTAGAATACTAACTGCAAGGTCAGCGGTTCAAATCCACCAGCCTCCATGGGAAAAAATGAAGTTATCAGCCCCAATAAATATTAACACCTTTGAGGTGACAAAAAGTATCGAGTTGATGGCAATCAATTTCTGTTTGCTACTATTGTTAAGGATTTATGAATTTATATTCATGGTTGAAAGCAGTTTGTTTTGGCTTGGCTGGTTCTGTTTTCGTCTTATCTGGGTGCCAGGGTGGCTTCAGTAAACAAACTGAGAAGTGTTCCCTCCTTTCATTTTCTAAAGATTGTGTTGATAACAGTGTCATTTTTCTTGAAAAACATTTGGTAGAAAGCTCCAATGCAGCCATCGGGGCACAGATATTTGGGGGTTGGGGCCTTTGTAACTTACACATTCAATTCTTGATAGGTCTTCATGTTAGTCAAATTATTCATTTCGTATCGAGTTGTTGTTTCTGTCTTTGAACCAGTGGTCCGTTCTAAGTTATCCAGTGTATGTGCTGAAACGGTTGGTATTCTCTAGTTATCTTTTTGATGTCTGTAAGGCCTATGGTGGTGACTTCTTGCCATTCCTTACATTGGTAGAGCCTTTATCCGTCTCTCTCCAAGTTTGTTCATTTTACTGATAGTCAAAAGACCAATTTTTAATTTCACTACCTTCTTGTTTTCCATTTCATTAATTTCTTTTTAATTTTCTTCTATTTGCTTTCAGTTTATTTTGCTTTTACTAGTTTCTTGAAGTAGGAGATGGAATTATTGATTTGAAACTACAAATTTTCCTCTCAGCACTTCATCAGCTAAATTTAGTAAATTTTGATGCCCTGTTCTAGTGTTGCTATTACAGAAACACCACAATGAGTGGCTTTAACAAACTGTATTTTCCACAGGAGGCTAGTACACATTCAAATACGGGGCATCCGTTCTTGGGGAAAGCTACATCTCTCTCTGCAATGTGGGAAGGTCTTTTCAGCTTCTACTCCATGGCACCTTTACCTGTGGTGTGTATCTTTACCTCTCTCTGTGTCTGCTTGCCTGCTTTTTCGGCTTTTACATTTCAAAAAACATTGACTTGCATACTCCAAACTAACGCTATACAATGACACCTCGGATCCAAATTTGAACTTTCCGCTACTCAAACAGCAAAGTCTGACAAGGAAAAAAAGCCTGCTTGGATCTCGTAACCTGGCTCAATAGTTGAACTGAAAATCCGACGTGAAAAACCTGTAAGGGGCATGAGTGACCCCCATGTCGCTCTCACACAAAAGGGTGACAGTTCAGTCTATGCATTGCTCTCGCTGAGAAAACAGCCACTGTGTTAATGCGTTACAACATTCAGCACTGGGATTTTTTTTCCTCTTTGCATACAATTTCAAAATTTGCTATATTGTTTTGATATCTAATGAACTAACTGTATTTATTGTTTTTAGATGTTTTAGGGGGTATTTCCACAACCTAGGGCTGTTACCTTTGTGAGTAAAGTCCTGGAAAACAATTTATACCGTATATATAAACCGACCCAATATCACCCAAGGCACCTAATTTTACCAGAAAAACTGCATTAAAAATGTGCAGAAAAACTTGGCTTATACAATAGTATATATAGTAAGTGTAATTTGGGGGCCTCAGAACGAATTATTTGGTTTTCCATTATTAGTAAGGGAAAAATATGTTCAGTTCTCAAACTTTTTGGTGTTCAAACATGAATTTGGAACAGATTAAGTTCCACAACAAAGGTATCACTGCATATTTTTATTTTCCCAGTAGAATGTAAATGTTACGAAAGTGGAAAGTTTGCTGAAACATTCTTCCATGCACATAGCAAGCAGTGTGATAAAAATCTTTGGGCATGTTATGGATTGAATTGCCTTTCCAAAATGTATGTTGTACAGCTTTTATACCTGTGACCACACTACCATCTGGGAGGTTTCTTCTGTTATGTTAATGACAACAATTCAAGTACAGAATGGGAAGTTGGGTGCCAAGCCAAGGACTTGACCCAAAAACCTACAGAGAAAAGGCCTTCCTGGAGAGCAGAGGTTCTCAACCCGTGGGTCGCAACCCCTTTGGGGGTCAAATGACCCTTCCACAGGGCTCCCCCGATTCATAACTGTAGGAAAACTACAGTTATGAAGTAGCAATGAAAATAATTTTACAGTTGTGGGGTCACCATCACATTAACTGTCTGTCTGCAAGGGTCGTGGCATGAGGCTGGTTGAGAACCACTGCTCTAGAGCCAGCTCCCTGAATTCAACTGTGAGAAAATAAATTTCTATTAGAGATACCCACTCGTAATCTTCTGTGACAGCAGTATAAGATAGTGTTCAACATAGCACTAAAGATATTGGATAAAGGCTAGGATGGATGAGTAAACTTTAGTTTAGCAATATGACAAATTTCAGTTCAGTCCCCAAACATTGAGCAACCAAAACACCTTCAATATTCTCTTGTTCCGAGCTCTCTAATAAAATTGGAGTTTCATTACAACTGCAAAAACAAGTGGTCTCTAAAGATCACTATTTAAGACAAAATTAACTTTAAATATTTAAGATGGAGAAATATGTATTATACTATGTAAAATCTGACTGACCACGGAGTACACAAACATCCCCACTACTCTGAAACATCAGTTTCTAAAAATTAAGAGTTAAATTCTAATCTCCCTGTTTCATATTAAAAATTATGGCGTGTGTCCTTTGTCCAAGCATACTCTTAAAATATATTTATATTTTTATAATACCATATATTTGTAAATAAATTTAATGTAAATATATTAAATAATTTCAAATTCTTTATATTTAATTAAAATCAAATCCAATTAGTACTCTTATGGGACATCTTATGTATTTGACCTGAGTATTATTAACACATACAATTACAGGAAAACTTCACAAAATATAAGTACCTAAAATTCTATTTTTCTTTCAAAGTATATTTCTTACCAAACAGTAATAAACAGCTACATATTTCTAATAAACACTAATAGTATATCTCAATTTTTTTCTTACCTAATTTTACAGGAAAGCCTGGAGGAAGCTTCATCTGAACAAATTCTCTAAGTTTGTTAAAGTGCTTGAAGGGAGCTATTACTTCTAAAACATTCAATAATCTGAAAAATGGAAGAAAAATGTTTTCTTGGTTTAAATTATTGATTTGTGTCCTTCAGTTTGCTTTCGCTACATGTTTCAAGCACAGACAATATCACATGACTTTTTACTTTTAACTACTGAATATGAGGAAATCACACTTCCTCATCCTTATTTTATTATTTCTACTACTGCAATTACTTGGTTTATTGTTTCTACTATGTCAAGGTGTATATAACTTTTCTATTTGATTCTAGAGATATAATTTCTACAGTTAATTAACTTGAATTCTATATTTAAATAGAATCAATATTAATATCTATCTTCTTTAATTGGAGTCATTTTGTTGGCTAAAGTTCATTGTCAATTTCTTTCGAGAAAGGGCTCATAAGTGCTTAGTAATCTTTGAGTTCCAGCACATTTGAAAAATGCTTTCTGTGTTAGATTTAGAGACATTTCGTTAACATAAAATTTGGGGTTACTATATCTTTCCAATGAAATTTACATATTTCCTAGCATTTAATATCTTTTTGAAAAAGATCATTTTATTGGGGGTTTTATAGCTCTTATCACAATACACACATACATACATTGTGCCAAGCATATTTGTACATTTGTTGCCATCATTTTCAAAACATTTTCTCTCTACTTGAGCCCTTAGTACCAGCTTCTCATTTTTTCGCCTCCCTTCCTCATGAACACTTGATAATTATAAACTGTTATTATTTGTTCATGTCTTACACTGACCTTCACCCACATTTCTGTTGTCTGTCCCCAAGGAGGGGGGTATATGTAGATCATTGTGATTCGGTCCCCTTTTCTCCCCTCACCTTCCCCTTCCCCTCCTGGTATGGCGACTCTCATTGTTGGTCCTGAGGGGTTTATCTATTCTTTTGTTGTTGTTAGCGCCCCACTTCCCCCTAACCACCCTGTACCTTGCCCATAGATAATTATTAATCCAGTTACTGTGTCTATCGACATACCTATCCTAGATTTCATGTACAGAAAAATATACAAAAACAATTTAAAAAATCCAATGGCATGACAAAATAAGAAAAAAAAATCTCAATCAAAAAGAGCAGAAAATACTAAAAACTGGATCAAATTTAAAATGGGTCAAAAGGGAGCTCAAATAATAAGGTGCTCCATTTCAACCTGACTACATCAGCCATGATCAACTTTTCACTGCTGTCTGTCTTCCAGAAAAGCATTCACGTCCCAGGACTATGGTCATTGGGGACTCACGGGAGGCTTGACTTACACAGAGAACCTGCAGATCGATTTGGGGCTGCTATTGTCATCCTGCAAACCAGGCATTGAAAACTTAAGTTCTGATAAAATTTAAGCTCTGATATACTTTTCCCTCCTACAGATTTTGATTTTATTATTCACCATCCATGGATTACAAAGGCTGGTGTGCTTCTTCCACGTGGACTACTGACATAATCACTTAGATGGCTGCTTATTTTCATGCAAGCCGGTACGCCTCCTGATACTATTCTTTGATAGCCAGGCACCATCTGATTTCTTCACCACACGTTGCAGTAGTACCCATATCATCAGTGATCTCTTCATGAAGGTGTGTATCGAGTTGGGGCCATGTTATCAGAAATAAATGTTATTAGATTAGGGCTATAATTTAGTGCCAGCCCCAAATTCATTCATATACCTATATTTTATATATGTCCCTGATTCACTTTGAATACATCATCATTTTATTGGAGAGCATTAAAAATTACCCCCATAAGACATTGACAGTATCAGTATCACTAGTTTAGTCAATGGTGTAGAATGAATATAACTGCTTTTCTGTAACAATGTTTCTTGAAAACTAATATTCTATAGATTTAGTTCTTTCCAGAAAAACATTCATTTATTATGCTCTGCATACTGCTTGGTTTTCATTGTAGAGGCTTCCTAGCTCGGAAGCACCAATGACCCTCAGGTAGACCTCTTTGTCCACAGTATTTATTACTACTACAACTTCTTATAAAAGTCTCCTCTTCCTCTGTATTCACTATGATCCATCAAACTTTATTTTTCAACTCTATCTATTCTGTTCGTTGTTTCTAATGCATTTGATTTGAATTCTCTTTTCCTTACTTTTGCAACTTCTTTTTCATTTAACTAGTGTCTTCAACCAGTTTATCTCATAGCATGCAGCTTTACTGATTTCATGTTCTTTTTAAAAATGGCATTTGAAGAATTTCTTTCATTGTTTATTTTATTTAATTATTCATCTATTTCTTTTAAAATGAGGTCTTTGGCATTTACATGCTGTGTTTGCTTTATCTTTTTACCCCCAGAGAAAATTACTATAATTGTCTCTGTTTATCAATTCTCTAACATACCAGTTTTTTACATTGACATTTTCACATAAGATAGCTGTTAAAATTGATAGCATCTTACAATCAGCTTCGTTTTTTCCTTCACAATATAAAAATCTGATCTTTGAGTTACTTGGTTCCCAGATATACTAATTTCTAGTAAAATGTATTTATTGCTGACTCCCTTTCCACATTCTATGAGACCTAGCTTCTTTGAACTAGCACTTGAGCACTGTATTCTATCTACTTTTCTAAAGCTAGGGAACAAAGTGGAGATGTGGGGTAGGGCCTTAGCTAATATTTCATATGTGGGTTTGGAAAATATAGGCACTGCTTTCTGGGACTTAAATGTTTTTTTCACTTTTTTTTAGTCTTGAACTTTTAAAAAATTTAATTTTTAAGGTAATATGGCACACTGGATGACCAAGAATGCAGAGAGAAAACACTCCATAACTTCAAAGCAGAGTCAGCACTAGCTTAAGTTTGACATCAATTTCAATATTTTTTATAACAATGACAAAACGCAGAGGCAAAATACTTATTAGTGAAACAATAATTAAAACATCTATTCTAAGAAATGCCAAAGAAAATTAGATAAAAATATAATTAATGTAAGAATACCAATAAACACTCACTTTTAAGAGGAAAAATAAAGGAACTACCACAAAATCTAACTATTCCCTCATTTTCATAAAAACAATGAAAGGATAGATATATTTCTGAAAAACACACCAAACATTTTTTTTCACCAAGCTTATTAACTATAAAGCAGTGGGTAAAAAGCTGTCACTTATTAATATATAAAATTCCACACTATTTGTTTTCTTTAAAAACATGAATTCGTGTATTATTTTCACAATTAAAATATATATTCCAAAAATCACCTGATAAAAATATTAATACTTTTGTGAATCAGAAAAGTTCGGGTAGGAATGATTATTAGAATTCTTATTTCAAAAGCTTTAAATGAATCCCACAGAAGAAAAGACAGTCTTTACATTTAAGAGCATCTGTCTGAGGAGCTGATACCAAGGGCTCAAGTAGAAAGAAAATGTTCTGAGAATGATGATGGCAACAAATGTACAAATGTGCTTGACACAATGGATGGATGGATTATGTTAAGAGCTGTACGAGTCCCCAAAAGATGATTAAAAAACAAAACACTCCCGTCCTAAGCACGTAGAATAGGAATAAACTTACGACTCAATTCCTAAAGGAAATTCTCGGCTCATGGCTATTGTAGCTTTAAACGTTTTCTTACTCTCTTTGCACACTAGTTCTCTACCCAGATGAGGAGCTCTAAAAGAGAAAACAAATAAGTGTTAGCAAGCTTTTCAAAAAGTTATCATCTGCCAATCGAGCCCTGGTGGACGAATGAGTAGAGAGAGCATTGTGCGGAAGACAAGATGGCAGTTTCTCCGGGAGCGCCTGTCAAGGGATGAAAATAGATGCGCCTGGAAGGAGATGCTTCACACCGTTTCTCTTCATCACATCGCTCGCCGTGCCGTCTGATACTCGCATCTTGGTCCACCACGGCAGCAGCAGCAGTCACATGGGCACTGTCAACCAGAACTGTCCTGAAACATGCCTTTCCAATTCGAGATGGACTTCATGCAGTTTGTCATCAACCTACACAGCCTCTCGCAGATGACCGTAAGTGGAAGGTGGAGCTTGCTTGGACATCGGATGGCAGGACTGTAGTATGCTACCGCCCTTCTGTGGACATTCCATACGAACATACAAAACCTATTCCTCGGCCCGATCCTATACATAACAGTGAAGAAACACATGATCATGCGCTCAAAACTAGATTCGAAGTGAAAGGTCAGCCCCTTGAACAAGGTCCTAGGATAGAACAACTTAGCAAAAGGTTCTTTACTACGAAGCACCGTTGGTATCCTCGTGGGCCGTATCACAGACGTCGTAAGAAACGGAATCCTCCAAGACAGATGATTTCGAGGTGCTCATTAAGAATTAGAAATGTTAACTTTTGCCTCATTTGCCATTTGAGAAAAATATGATGTAGTCCTTACTATGTTAAAATAAAGTAATAAAAAAGAAAGCATTGTGCTAACCACAAAGATGGTGGTCCATGGGAGAAAAATTAGGCCTTCTACACCCATAAAGGTTTACAGCCTTAAACTCTCTGAAGCAGTTTTCATCTCTTATACAGTCATTCTGAGTCAGAAAGAACGGCAAAAGGTTTGGTTTTCTGATTTTTTAAAATATTTTAAAGAACAATCATTTTGTATTGTCATTTATTAATATTCCAGTATACTCTGTCAATAGTAATAAAATTGTGCTAGGCAAGAATGAAACATGAATGTGGTAAAATAAAGATAACAAAAATAAAAAACACTGAAAATAATTCTTAGAACTCAATGACTTGCAAATTGAATATAACTATAATAATCACATTTTAGAAAAAAGCAAATTGCAAAAGCACAGATTTTTTCAAACATCATTGCATATTTTTAAAGTCACGTATTCAACTCAAACTCCTTTACTGTAAAATAATCTCAACACTGAAGCAAAACAATACAATCAGAGATAAAATCTAATCTTATTATAGAATATTATGACAAAAACATTTTCTGTAAATTTTTAAAAATAATAAAGTTTCAAAAATAAAGTAAATCATGACAACTTCCTAACCAGTGTTTAGGTAATATTATATTCATCATAAAAGTGAAATGTTTTTCACAAAGGCAGAAATTTTTATTTACATATTCAGCTGATAAAAATTTATTCATTTTAAACAATTCATTTATTCACATTGTTTTATCCAATAAATATTTACTGAGCATGAAAAATGTATTGGTATTCCACTACATATTAGTAATATACTATCAAGCAAGAATCCCAGAATAGTAGGGAAAGAGGTGATATGGAAAATGCTGACGAATTAATAAGAAGAAATAAACTTGGGGAGACAGAGAGGAGACAAAAAACTGCCTTACATTCAAAATAATCACAGGATACAAAATTTCATCATAAATGAAGTATTTCGAAGAAACAGCTGAACTGGGTAATTCCCGACTCAGATCATTATCTTATAGGCTTTGATGTATGCAAATTGACAGAAGGAATATAAAAAAAGTTTTATTAGCCTTACTCAAAAGGGTGATTATGATGCACATAATCATAATCTGGAATGCTAACTTTCTATCATGCGTAACCTGTATCTAAAAGGCTTTGAAAAAAGCCAGAAATATATACTAAATAATATTCTCTTTGACTTAACTATTATACCGAACAATTCCTAGGTGCTTACTACACATACACATCAGCAGGAAAGAAACACTTACTTTCCATTCTCAGCAGAAATATATTCTTCCCATGTAATAGTGTTCTGAGGAGGAGGGGTAAGAGACTGTCTTCGAATTGGCTGCCCAAAATAAAGGAAAATTATTTTGAGGAGAGAACAGTCAAATCATTACAAATATACATTTAAAGCACAATTTATTTAAACTACCAGTCTGCTTAATTAATCTCTTATGTACAGTAAGGTTTTTAAAAGAGTCCTCGCAGGATAATTCTTTATAGTGATTTTAGTAATGCCAGTAACATCATCCGCTTTTTAATTCAAATAAGAAAAGAAGTCATAATAACAATTCAAACACTATATATATCATCAAAAGTGTTCCTCACATTATGCCAAATGCTACGCATGGGCGGTGACAGAGAACTGACTTCAAGAGTTTACGTTTAAGAGGAACAAAAGAAACATGTAGACAAACAGTTCAACAAAAATACAAAACTATATGGTTAGAGGCCAAATGGGCTTACAAAAAATGGAGTAGTTCAGGAGCTCAGAAAAAGGAGCAGTCAATCATATCAATAAATTAAGATTATAAAAGCGCATATTTTAATGAAGACAATAAAATGGCGGGGAATTTTATGCACAAAGGTGAAAGTGTGAGTAGACTCATTATTTAAACTAGAGAGGAACATTCAAAAGAGTGATTAACAATAGACAGTAATGACCTCAAATGTCAGATCTCAAAGTCTGTACCTTTGTCCTTATTAAATATGAATTTGGGCCACTATAAGGAAAAACTTGTAATAAATAAGGAACTTCTTCATTGCAAATACCTTTTTTCAACAACATAAACGGCGACTATACACATGGACTTCGCCAGATGGAATACACAGGAATCAAACTGACTTATCTGTGGGAAGAGATGATGGAGAAACTCAATATCATCAGCCAATACAAGGCCAGGAGCCAATTGTGAAACAGACCATTGACTGCTCATATGCAAGTTCAGGCTGAAGCTGAAAAAAATTAAAGCAAGTCCAAGAAAGCCAAAATAGGACCTTGAGTATATCCCACCTGAATTTACAAAATATCTCAAGAACAGAGGTGACGCATGAACACTAATGACAGAAGACTCGAGGAACTGTGGGATGGCATCAAGAACATTATATATGAAGAAAGCAAAAGGCATTAAACAAGGCAAAAAAGATCAGTCAGTGTCGGAAGAAACGCTGCAGTTTGCTCTTGAATAGAGTAGGTAAAGCAAATGAAAGTAGTAACGGAGTAAGAAATGGAACAGAAAATGTCAAAGATCAGCTCAAAAATGGAAAGCAAAGCATAATGATATGGGCAAAGCCCTGGAATTACAGTCTGAAAAGAACACGCTGAATTTTGTTGTTATAGCCTTCTTAACGATCTGTTACATATTTTTCAGTACAGGAAACATAGGATGGCTGAATCTAGAGAGACAATAACTAGTTTAAGGGTTGCTGGTGGTAATGGGGCTGGTAACAAGGAGCACAAGAAGGAAGAAAATGTTTTGAACCTGACTGTGGTAGTGATGGCATACCACTTTTTGATATGACTGAAATACTGAATTATATGATGTCTGGATTATGGTCTAACAGAATTTTTTTTTCTTAAAGAAGAAGCTGAATAAGCAACAGGGGAGCCAAAGCTAATCTCCTCTGACAATATAAGGAAGGAGGCGAATGCATCTTCACACTAGCTCCTGCCGGAGTGCCACAAGGCAGAGGTCAAACATGCTTCCAAACATCCATCTTTCTTTACCCTAGTATGACACCATTCCTCGCACAATACCCCACTTCTCTGCTGGGCTCAATAATCCACTGGAATAGCCACCCAGAACTCACAGACAATATTCAATGTTATGAAAATTATTATAGAGAAGAGTTAACAAGTTACCACAAGTCAGAATTTTTTTAAAAAGGATATAGTCTTTAAAAACATAGCAGTGTGTCTTCTCAGAGGGCAACCAAGTCTTTCTGGTCCTCAGCCCCATGGCCCCATGGCCTCTGCCCTGTCCCATGGGCCGAGAAGCCCATTCGTGGCTCTGCCTCAATTTCATGCTCTCTAGTCTCTATCGATGACCTCAATGTGGCATGACCTCTGTTGCTTCTACCGTATTAGGGATTGCAAAAGAATGTCATCCAATGATGGTTCTTCTTCCTTAATGATCGGAGAATTCTGTTTCTGCTTCTGAGATGGCTCTCATACCCATGGCAACCACAACTGGCCAATTCCCTGTAGGCGGAGTTTATCCACCCTTTTTGAAGAGTCCCAGGGACCATGGATAAAAGTAACAGAGACATGGATAAAACAGTCATGTTAAGAAATTTCACTTTACCACACACACCCAGCATAGCTGAAGAGGAAAGAGTTAAAAGAAAAATTCAAGCCTCAAGTTGAAACACTGCAGGAATTCATGGACAAAATGTTGAATGATGGAGAAAGACCCAAAAGATGAGGAAATAAATACACAGTCACTGTATATTTTTAAAAAATTGGTCAACAGTCAATTATTTCAAGATGTACCTTATGATCAAGAACCAATGGTGCTGAAGGAAAAAGTCCAAGCCACACAAGAGCCATTAGCCAAAATCAAAACTCCAGGAACTGGTGGAATACCAGTTGACATGTTTCAACAAGCTGATGAAGCACAAACTTACTCCTCTATGCAAGAAATTTGGAAGACAGCTACTTGATGGATTGACTGGAAGAGATCCATATTTCCAAAGAGAGGTGACCAACTGAATGAGGAAATCTTCAAACAGTATCATTGAATCTCATACAAGTAAAACTTTGTTGAAGATAATTCAACAATGGCTCTGTTGTGCATATGACAGTATACGTGAAAAGTGATTCAATAACACCTGACAATAACCAATAACAAGAAGGAATTAAGCTAGGTAGTGACAATGGAAATGGAAAAGTGCTAGGAAAAGCCCACAGGATAGGCTGTAGTGGAAAGGGGCAATACATGAGCAACAACAGTACAGTGATGCCACTAGGACAGTTAAAAATATGCAGACTGTGGGGCCCTGGCACTGGGAACACCAATATGATCTCAGAGTCTACCTTAAGAAAGCTGGCTGATATACCTGCCATTTGGCAATGAGGGGAGTCTTTGTCTTGGCTAGTTACAGAGGAGGATCTGAGAGTAGCCACTGGCAGAAAAGGGAGTGGGGGTGGGGCGGGCAAGGCCAGGCTGGAAAGAGAGAGTCTAAATAGTTAATGCTCCACCCAAGGGCAGGAGGAGGATTTGGGGGTGCGGTGGGGGGAACAACAGGGCCAAGACATTAAGTCCCACGTGGGCAAGGAAGCGAAAAGGAGTGTGTAACATCATGAGTATGACGCTGGATGACACCCACCCTAGTGATGCCACTGGCAGGACCATCCGGAGAGCTGCCCACCACAGATGGTTGGATAGTAAGGGCTGTTTCGAATAACTTGCATGTGTGTAAATCTTCTAAATTCTGTTCTGAAAACTATGGTTCACTCATTCAATATGGGAAATCTCAAAACATGAAAATAGTTTCCTAGCATACGTAATGTTAACATGAATTAGGTGGAATTTGGCAAACTGTTGTGGAAAGTTTGTCACAAGTTACCATATATAACGACCCTATATGACAGAGTAGGCCACACCTGTAAATTTATAAAACTGTAAATCTCTACAGGATTAGACAGCATTATCTTTCTCTAACACAGAACAACTGGTGATTTTGGCCTATTGATGCTGTGCTTATCAGCCCAACTCGTAACCCAATGGCAGTGAATTTAGTTTGAGTAGAACATATAAGGGGCTACCAAAAATTCATGGACAATTTCTATTATCGTTTATTCCATTTTTACCATGAATTTTTTGAAACCTCCTTGTACCCTGTATGATGTAGCACAATACGATTTCTTCCTTTCCTTATTGTAGTCGAATCAATTCTGATCAGAGCATCCCTATAGGGTAAAGTAGAACTACTCCCTAGGGTTTCAAATACTGTAAGTCTTTACAGAAAGGCTCATCATTCTCCCTTGGGGCAGAGTTGGTAGGCTTAAACTACTCATCTTGCGATCAGCAGTTAGGCCAGCAGGACTCTCTGCACAATACAATCTCAATCTAACTGCCATCAAGTCAATTCCAGCTCATGGTAACCTATAAGGCAGAGTACACCTGCCCCTGAAGGTTTCCGAGGTTGTACATCTTTACAGTATCAGAAAGCCTCATCTTTCTCTCCTGGAGTAGCTCGTGAGTTCAAACTGCTGGCCTTATGGTGAACAGCCCAACTTATAATCCACTATATCGCCAAGGTTCCCACATTACAAAGTAGCCTTTATTCATATGACTGTGACTCATATTTACAGATGTGGAAAATATCATGAAAGTCGGGTTGAAGGGTAGTCAGACGTTTTTATACTAACTTGTATTTTTACAATCCACAAGTATGAAAATAAAAATAAACTTAAGGGCCCTTTTTATGCATCCTATTAGGGATTTAGATTCTATGGCACTTACTAGATCTCGTACATCTTTGCATTTCCTCTGTCTTTCCCTATTCTCGCACAATTCTTTGCATAAAGAATATTCTCAAAAAACACATGCAAAATTTATAAACATATATAAAGATAAGCTACAGATGATGTTATAAAGAAAGTAAATCTAGCTGAGCCTTCCAAAAAGCATATTTCAATCGCAGAAGCAGGAAGGATATATAAAAAAACACGGATTATAAATTAACCTAGGTTTCATGCAGATCACTTTGACTTATTAATAAATGAAGATTCAAGAACTGACTTACAAAAAAAAATCACAAGGCCATATTCTTTTTCTTTCTGCAATGAAAAAATCAAGAAAATAAAGATCCACAGAAAAGTAAAAGGCAATCATGGTAAACATGTTCAGTGTATTGGTACATATTGTCTCAAATGAAATCTTTCCTTCTCCTTACAACATTGTAAACTAGGCGAAGTAAAAATAGCTTTCATATATGTAAATGAATTATACCTCAAAATTGTGTTCCATTATGTTTCCACCTTTACTCAAACTCTCCATGATGGCCTTATTTCGAAGAATATCCTCTTCACTGAGATGTTCTCTTCTTTTCCTTGATTCCAAAACAAGTCCATTCACCAGATAAAAGTCTGCCAAAAAATTTCCTACTCTTTCCTAAACAAAATCAAATATTTCAGAACATTATAATTAAAGGTAAATTTGTTTCAGATAAAAAAGCTTGCAGGCAAAATATATTTCTATAAATATGTACTATCTAAATGAAAAGAAATAAGCGGTTGCTACTTGAAATTACCAAAGTATTTATGCATACTATTAAGCAAATACGTCCTTATATATTGACATTCAACATTTAAAGGAAAGTTTAGATGCACAAAGTACCGTGATGGCTCATCAGCACAAGTGAATTAAAGTACTCCATAGAGTTTGCTTTAAAACCTATTACAAAATAACATAAAGCTACCTGAAATATTAAGCTGCTAATGAAATCTGATAAAAAAGGAGGAATCATAGATAATTACTGTTCCCACTTTACAGATGAAAAAAAACTTGAAAAAAAATTGTAACTTCGCCAAAGTTACACCTGATCTGTAGCACACCTACACCAAGTTTCCCTGTTCCAATACTCTGATCTCTAACAGAATCTAGTCTCAAATTACAATTGCTTACTGCTTTCAAAAAGGCAGAACAAGACAGTTGTCTTCCTCAGCAATATCATTAGTAATTTAAATTTATGGATGGATTAGCTTCGGTGGGGAAGCTCAACTGATATAAAGGACATCAAGAAAAAATTTTTTTGCTTTAATCAAGTCTTCCAAATACTAGTCTCCACTCTTCACAATTTTCAGACCTAAGACTGTAAAAGTTCAAAATATTTTTTTAAAACATAAGTAAAAAACATTATATATCATTATGTTCACTGAAAACATGCTCCCATCTCTAACAACCTCCAAATATCTGGCTTATCATGCTGGTGCTGTTTTCTGGCAGCTTATAACTATATGGTAGAGTTGTTTCCATGTCTACATCATTTTTGATGGCCTTCTCACAAGTCACAGTAACACATCTGGACCTGTTTCTACCTACAAAATAGGAACCCTAACAATCCTGACTCCCTCTTGATCAAAAATTTAAGAAAATCACCTAGAGTTTGTTTAAGAGTTTCAACTACCTAGCAGTAGCCCTAGAATATCAGTTTCAATTTTTATCATCTCTTGAAATAATCTACCTAATGCTGTCCAGACAAAAGGCAATGTTTGATCACACCTCTTTTGAAGGCACATTACCAAGATTAAGTCAAAGAGAAAACTTGTCTGCCCCCTGAGGAACAAAGAGTAAGACTGCAAAGATAACAAATGCATTGCAATATAGGAGCTTATACCTAGGAATGCTCTAGTGCCATTAGTTGTAAAATATACTTAAGAGAAATTTAATGAGTCAGAATTTTCTGTGTTGAAGAGATAATTGGGTGACAATTATCCATTTCTACAATCTTATCATGATAAAACATTATGAGTAAACTACTATAAAAATTAACATTTTAAATGTGTATTGTCCATGAGCTTCTTGCTACATATCAAATGTACTATCTTGTACAACGGCATGTAAAAAGATCATGAACACAGCAGAGCTTATAATAGCAAAAAATCTGGACACAATCTCAATGTCCTCAAATAAGGCATAAATACCATATATCCATACTACAGTATATTATGCTATTGATAAAGTTAACATTGCATGTACTTACAAGAAAAGATGTCTAACAAAATAATGATTTATAAATTATCAAGGGTTCATGAGGGACGGAGGGGCGGGGAGGGGGGTAAAAATGAGGAGCTGATACCAAGGGCTCAAGTAGAAAGCAAATGTTTTGAGGATGAGGGCAATAAATGTACAAATGTGCTTTGACACGATGGATGGATGTATGGATTGTGGTAAGAGTTGTACAAGGCCCAATAAAAAGATTTTTTTAAAAAAAGGATTTCTAAGACATAGTGAAGTTATTTAAAAGCTAGCTATAAAATAATAAAGTATGATAGTGTTTATGGAAAAATAAAACCAAAATTTGTATATTTTAGATACATATTTATACCTGTAAATCATAAAAAATGCCTACAGGATATACAAACTGATAACCTTCTGAGAGGGCACAAGCTTTATAAGTAATGGTGTAGAAGTACTTTTCAGTCTTATGTGTAAGGGGGCTTTTTTCAAAATGGAAATTTGTACCTATTCTGTGTATTAAAAAGGAGCGTAAATTTTAAACCAATAAATCCTGGCCCTTTCCTGATGTGGTTAGTTATTCTTGACTTTAAATTTTTCATGAAAATGCTTCTTCATACATACAATTCAAAATATTTGAATGTGTTTTACTGTTAATGACTGATAAAACGGGAATTATAGAAAGATTTTACAATTGACTAATAAGGAAACCTATAAAATGAAAAAAGCCCAAGATTATTGGTGAATGGTTCTGGTTCTTGTCAAGTGCTGTGGAGTTGGTTCTAACTTAAAGAGGCCTTCTGTGTAAACAGAATGTGTGTGTGATGTCCTTCCTCCGCAGACAGTTCCTGCCAGATTACATGTTCAAAATGTACCTGGCATGTTATAAGATGCCCAAGGAAAAGGACATCATGTTTTATAAAGAAGAATCTTATGAAAAAGAGGAAGATCCTTAGCAAGATGGACTGACACAGTGGGTGTAAACAGTGGTTTTGAAATTAATGATTGTGCGGATGGGAGCAGTCCAGGCAGTGTTTTTGTTGTACACCGCACTGCTATGAGTGGAACCGTGACTCACAGGCACCGAACAACAATGCTGACGCAGCATTCTTCATAGAATCCGAGAGCTCGGATTCGCTCAATACAGATTGAATAAGTATGGTGTGAAAGCATACAAATTTTGACACTCAAACTGTTTTCTAATTTTAAACCACAGTATGCCTATGTCTATGTTCAAGTTCTGCATGGCCACAATGAAGTGCTCTGAAATTGCCATTCTTCTCAATACTATATCTTTCTGGTATTCTGTTTTCAGCCAAGATCCATCTGATGTAAGCAATGATCTCTCATCACCATGCCTCCTCCTGAATCTGGCTGGAATTTCTGATGTATGAGTGCAACTAGTGTTGAATAATCTTCAGTAAAATTTTACTAGAATGTGACAGTAATGATCAAAAATGCCCCAAACTCACTCCCATCAAGTCGATTCTGACTCATAATGCCCCTAGAGGACAGAGTAGAACTGCCCTGTGGGTTTTCAAGACTGTCAATCCTTCTGGGAGTAGACGATTTCATCTGCCTCCCATGGAGTTTCCATAAATTTCTATATTGCAGTTATTGGTGCTGTATTTGGTTGCCTTTCTTTGAAATAGGTCCAAATATAATTCCAGTTAATTGCCTAGGTAGCTATCTTCCGAACTTCTTACCATGGACACCATCAGCGCTCCCAGCGTTTCATCAGTTTGTTAATCATTTCTATTGGTATTTGGACAATCCTGGAGTCTTTTTTTTTTTCTTCTTTCTGCTAAAGTCTTTCAGTGCAGCTTGGACTTTTCCCTGTGGTTCTCAACCATGCTAATGCCGCGACCTTTTAATACAGTTCCTCATGTTGTGGTGACCCCACCCCAACCATAACATTATTTTTGTTGCTACTTCATAACTGTAATTCTGCTACTGTTATGAATCAGGCAACATCTGTGAAAGGGTCCTTTGACCCCCCCCAAAAGGGTCACAACCCACAGGTTGAGAACCGCTGCTTTAGTACTATCTGCTCATGAACATATGCTATCTCTTAAAATAGTTACTGCCAAGGACATGGATGCTTATTCATTCCATTTCTTTGTTGACAATTTCCAATTTTCCTAGATTCATATTTTGTGCATTTCACATTCCAATTATTAATGGGGTTTTCAGCTATTTCTTCTCATGTTGAATCGTGTTCCAACAGCAAATCATGATACTAAGAACTTTCCCAGATGTATTCTCAGTAACTCCCAACTGAGGAGTTCGTCTTCTGCACTGTTTCAGACAATGGTATTGTAAGTGGACAGCCTATTTCTTCTTCCAGGGACACACAAACCACTCCAATGTGACAATCTGGCAGATAAGTAGTTTGTTTTAACCGTGTTACAAACCGGAGCTTTTTCCCCTTCAGCTCACCTTAAGAAATGCTGAGTGTTCTTCTCTTTGGGTTTTCTCAACTCTAGGTCTGTATAAACTCCATTATAATACCCTCATTTGTCTTCTGAAGCCGACTGTTGCAATCTTCTACTTAATTTTCACTTTATTACTTCACTCTTTCACTTTAACTATTCTTCAGTCAAGAGTTTGCAGAAAGCAAGGACATGAAGCACTTGCTGATGAAAGATCAAGGATTGTCGCCTTCAGTGTGAATTAAAAGACCAAAATTCACACAACTAGATTAACAGGCAACATCACAATAAATGGAGAAAACACTGAAGGTGTCGTGGATTTCTTCTTGCTTGGAGCTATAATCAATGCCCATGGGAAGCAGCAGCCAAGAGATCAAAAGACGTGTGGCAATGGGTAAAAATCTGCAGCACAAAACCTCTTTAAAGTATTAAAAAGCAAGAATGCTACTTCGAAGACTAAGGTACGTCTAACCCAAACCATGGTATTTTCAATTGCCTCATATGCATGTGAGAATTGGGCATTGAATAAGGACGATCAAAGAAGACTAGATATGTTTGAACTATGGTGTTGGTGAAGAATATTGAAAGTACCATAGACTTCCCAAAAAAACCTGTCTTGGAAGAAATATGGCCAGCATGCTCTTTAGAAGCAATGATGGCAAGACTGTCTCACATATTTCGGACATGTTGTCAAGAGACACAAGTCCCTAGAGAAGGATGTTATGCTTGGTAAAAAGCATGGCACTACAAAGGAAGAGGAGGGCCCTCAACAAGATGGATTGACATAGCAGCTATATCAATGGGCTCAATCACAGGAACAACTGTGAGAATGGCCCATGACCAAGCAGTGCTCCATTCTGTTATGCTCAGGATCTTTATGGATTGGAACGGACTTAATGGCATCTAACAATATTCTAAAGCAGTTTCCAGAGTCTCTTCTGGGATCAATTTTGGTCTTTTCTTTCTTTACTGTCTTTTTAACAACCGTTTGTTTTCTTGATGTATGATGTCTTTGTTGTCATTACACAACTAATCGGCTCTTCAGTTATTAGTGTCCCATAGGCTTAATCTATTTTTTTTTTAAACTTTAAGCAGTAACTTTAAGTACATCTGTAAAATACCTTTTGCCAAGTTACATATCATGGAGGTGACAATGCTTCATATTTAGAGGTTCAGCCAAAATCAGGGAAGACATTTATGTTGGTGTGTACACAGGGGACAAGTATATTGAGGGTGATCATATATTTCTTCTTACATCAAAGATAGTATAAATATTATATCTTTATTATGGATGATAACTTTTCTCATTATTTGGTACCTATTTAAAAAGCACATTTAAAACTTAATGCCTGAAATTCAAGATTCTCTAAATTTAATTTAAATTATTAATGTTGTTTTATTGCTTATGCCTTTTTATATGCTTTTCCCCATCATTTTATTTGCAATCTGTGAACCACTTTGTTTTGTGTCTCTTGTATTTAGTAGCACTTTGCTGAATTATTTAAAATTTACCCAGAATTTATGTATAAAATAAGAGACTTTAAGTTTGTCACTATAGTTTACATCATGCTTTTTTAGTTACTTTTAAATGATTTATTTGCTATTTGTGTGTGTGTGTGTGTGTGTGTGTGTGTGTGTGTAAATGGACAGAGAGAGAAAGTGTGGTGTATGTACGTGTTTGTATAGTAGAAAGGCCTTCTATTCCTATGATGATTTGTATAACTACAACTTTGTTTTTTAATTATTTTATTGGGGCTCTTACACTTCTTATCACAATCCATACTATGTATACATTGTGTCAAGCACATTATTACATATGTTGCCATCATCATTTTCAAAACATTTTCTGTGTACTTGAGCCCTTGATATCAGCTTCCCGCCCCCACCCCACCCCCGCCCTCCCTCATGAAGCCTTGATAATTTAGAAATTATTGGGAGATTTTTCCCACCAACCACTGCCTCCCTTAACCCACTTTTCTGTTGTCCCTCCCCCTGGAAGAGGGTTATATGTCAATCATTTTGATTGGTTCCCCCTAACTGACCCCCCTATTTCCCTTACCCTCCTAGTATTGCTACTCTCATTATTGGTCCTCATCTGTCCTGGATTCCCTGTGTTGTGAACTCTTATCTGTACCAGTGTACATCCTCTGGTCTAGCTGGATGTGTAAGGTAGAATTGGGGTCATGATAGTTGGGGATAGGAAGCACTAGAGAACTAGAGGACTGTTGTGTGTTTCGTCAGTACTATACTGCACCTTGACTGGCTCATCTCTTCTTTGTGACCCTTCTGAAAGGGGATGTCCAATTGACTACAGATGGACTTTGGGTCTCCACTCTGCTCTCCCACTCATTCACATCAATATGATTTTGTTTTGTTTTGTTTGGGGTCTTTGATTCCTGATATCTGATCCCATTGACACCTAATGATCACAAAGGCTTGTGTGCTTCTTTCATATGGGCTTTGTTCCTTCTCAGCTAGATGGTCACTTGTTTGTCTTCAAGGCTTTAAGACCCCAGACGCTCTATCTTTTGATAACCGGGCACCATCAGCTTTCTTCACCACATTTGCTTATGCGCCCATTTTGCCTTCATTGATTGTGTCAGGGAAGGTAAGCATCATAGAGTGTCAGGTTAGTAGAACAAAATGTTCTTGTTTAACCTATTCTTGAGATGGTCTCTATATCCAGGTAGAATATACTAAAGGTTATAATTTACCTCTCATTGACTTATTTGAATTTTCTTGAACATCAATTTGAACTTGCATAGGAGCAACTGCTGGTCTGTTCTACAGCCAGTCCCTGACCTTGTTCTCTCTCAGAGCTTCTCCATCATCACCTTCCACACATAGTTTATTTTCCTCCACTGTATTCCATAAGGCATGTAGAGTCAATGTTTATGTTGTTGAAAAAAAGATATCTACAATGATTTAGTCATCGATGCTACAAATTTCTCTCATGTGATGTCTGGCCTTGTTTCTACCACCAATGTCTTATTTTCCTAATGCTCATCATTCTTTATTTCTAACTTCCCACTCAAATCACCACTAATTCTGATCAAGATATCTTAATTTCATGTTTGATCTAGCTTTGATGCAGAAATTGATAGAATTATTCCGTTTCCTCATATTTAACACTAGTGGTTGGTGCATAAATTTAATTAATAGTCATATTAACTAGTCTCCCTTTCAGGCCTAGACATAGACTATCACTGATGGTACTGTACTTCAGGATAAATCTTAAAATGTTCTTTTTAACTGTAAATGTGATGTCATTCCTTCTCTATTTGCCATTCTGAGAGTAGTGACCATTATGAGTCTGATTTAAAATGAGCAATACCAATTGATTTCCACTCACTAATTCCTACTAGGATTAGCGATCTTTACATATTTCCCTCACTGAAGGTGCTATAGGGTCTGATTACCAAGAGATGTGTGTTGCTCTCATGCTGAGTTGTTTTCCAGCAGCAAATGAGATTTCTGTATCTTCTGCTCGTTCATGGCATTACATTTGACTCAGGTTTAAGGAAGGAGCCCTTCTCTAATTGTATTTTGAGTGCTTTCCAGCCAGAGCGGTTCATTTTCTGGCACTGTATTAAGTGTGTTTGGTAAAGGGGCCATGAAAAAGTAGAAGTCCCTCAGCTAGATGAAGTGACACAGTAGCTGCAAGGCTGGGTTCAACCACGGAAACCATTGCGAGGGTGGCACAGGACCAGGAAGTGTTTCATTCTGACGTGCATGAGGTCACTCTAGGTCAGACCCGACTCACAGCATCTGACATAGTAGACAATGCTGTTACTAATAAATTTCTTAGTGGCTTAATTTTTCAGAAGTGGGTCACCAGAACTAGATGGAGATTATGTTGTAAAATAAAATAGCTTCAGACTTTTATGTCTGTGTTTAATGAAGGTTTCTATAATTTAGTACCAATAATTTCTAAATCATACTTGTAAATCTAAACTCTACACCTATTATAATTAACTAACTGAATTATAATTAAAAGAGAATATACACAATTCAACACACTACTTCTTTTAACATCTTCATTACATTATTTGGTGGTATTAAATACTAATTTTTTAAGTTTAAAAGCTAGATTTGTACATACTGTTTTATCTTCCCGAAAGAGCCATCCTGTTTGGGCACGGGTGAAAGAAATTGATTTGGTTGACAAAGTTGCAGAGTAAATATCGCTGCTCATTAAAATGTCAACCTCTTCTTCTGTTTCCATCTCTGATTCCTGGTATAACAAAGAGAGTAAAAGTTAAATATATGAATCTAGGGTTTTCATAATTTAATATGAAAATATCAACCATCAAAATGTTAATAGATTTCAAAAAAACAAAAAGGGTAGTTGTTACGTACGCTGAAATTACAGAAAATGTAACCACATATCTAGTAACTCCTCCAATAATTTAAAATTATAACTAAATAATATTAAATTACTTTCAAGGGTGAATCTATAAAGATGCACACAAAAAAACTTACACTATAAAGATAAGTAATGGAAAATACTAGATTATATGCTATAGAAATACATAATCTGTAAAACTGTTTTAAAAGATTACTTTAATAATTTTGACAGACCTAAGACAAAATATGTGGGATTTGTTTTTCTGTTCTTTAATATAGATGAATCTTACATTAGCTCTTTATCCAAAGACCCTTTCTTTCAATAAGATGTGAGTGAAAAAAATGGAGGGAAGTGGAGGAGAAGAGTGAGGAAGAGAGATGGGGAAATGTTTTCTTAATAAGGAGTGCCTACTACGACTTCTGACTTATGGATAACTCTTGCTTGCCTTTAATATGATGTAAATTTGTCCTCACTTTGAAACCACTGAAACTCACCTACTCTAAACAAAAGCAAGCACCTTCACTTGCTGCACATCCAACAATTAAATCAATGAAGCGGCTTCAAGTCTTTCTTTGCAGTAACAATAAGGTAACATTGTTTGCACCTATTCTAATTCACCTAAAAATTCCACTTAAAAGATTCAAAGGCACCAGTGGTACAGACCTCAGTTTTTAACACATAGATTGCCCCTAGCTTCCTACAGATAGGAAAGGAAAAAGAATTATTTTCCCACAATTTTTACAACGTTATAATAAATTTAATAAATTTGTGCCTGCTTTGAGGACAGAAGAAAAGACGATCGTATACAGAAAAGTAATGTGAATGGGTATAAGACTAGGTTATATTTCATAATAAACCAGGAGTTACCCGGCAAATGGGGAAAAGGAAGGCAGAACCTGGAGAGATGAATGGGAAATTTAACTTAAAAAGCTTACATTGGCTTGAGGCTTTACTCCCAAACATTTTCTATTCTTCACCAAAAACTTGCACTCAGTGGTAGTCCCTTCCTGAACCTCTGAATCTATATAAAACAGCAGCAAAAGCTTAAAACTGAGCATTTCTTCATCAATGCAAGTGAGGAATAGAAAACCCTGGCACTGTAGCTGACACTCAAAGAGGTGAAAGTCTTGAACACAATTTTCCTAAAGAAAAGTACTGGCTAACTTAGGTTGAACATATTACTTAAAAAATTATACTTCTAAAAGCATAGTAGGACTCAACTAGGAGTTTATGGATTAACCTGAGAATTGAACACTACATATAATACATCTATAAAGAAGTTTGCCTTAGGTTCCAAATACAGTACACCCACATACGAGTACCCAGCGTGAATACTGTTACCCATTCTACACCATGCTTCCAGACAAAATTTCATTTACTTGTAATTAGAAATAAATATTTCACAATATATAATTACATATTGGTTTTGTGATTAATCACTATGCTTTCATTATGTTCAATTTGTAACAATGAAAATATATCCTGCATATCAGATATTTACATTGATTCATAACAGTAGTAAAATTACAATTATGAAGTAGCAACGCAAATAATTTTATGGTTGGGGGGTCACCACAACATGAGGAACTGTATTAAAGGGTCGCAGCATTAGGAAGGTTGAGAACCACTGATTTAGAGGAATATTAATAAGAGAACATGCTCACCTCATGGTGTATTCGCTGATAAACTTTCTGTTCATTGTCTAATACTACAAAAGATTTAGAGGGCGCTGCATCCCCATTGAAAATGAAGCTTAAATCCCCTCGCTGGCACTTCATGTCAGTAAAGTCTTTGAGAGTTGTGTCAAGCCTGTGAAAAATGGTAGATGAGAAACTAGCAAAGTTTTGATAACACTCCATTAATAAGTTTTAAAATTCTGTTCCCTCTAAATTAAAACCAGCATGCTAATACATCACATATAAAAGTCATGTATAGATAAAAGTGAAATGTAAAATAATTTTTAAAGACCCAAAATATTGCTTAAATAACTTATTTATTTTTTAGCTGTATTTTACTCTTCTGAATATATACTTAATCATTAGCCCCCACCCAAAAAAAATAAATAAATTTTCCATCCTGAAGCATGTAATTTTTCTTTATGACAGCTGCTAAGTAAATGCTGCCTTAGCAAGAAAGCACAGAAAAGGGAAGCGGCCTACTTAACTCTTTAGGATATGTTGAAAGCTCAGTGAAGCGTCAAAGGAGTCCTTGCACTAGACAGCCCACACTCTAAGAGGTTCAGTACTGCCAGGATATCCAGGTCATAAGTCTAAACGTTTAGTAACAGATCATGACAATAGTTCATTTTAACAAACCATTTCACCAACTCTAAATTCTATTCCACTTTCCAAAGTCTACACTCATGATCTTTCCAGACAACATCTCCACAGTCTGAAGATCTTATGGATCATTCTGTGCCAAATACCCATGGATGCACGTACTTTTTGTGTTTTGGTAACATGGACCTGGAATGACCTAGTCCAGGAAGTTGATCACAAATATCAGTCCACAAATTACTACTTGATGTGATTTGGAAGAATACTGGAATGAAAAAGTTTGTAAGACCCCTTAGCACTTCAATCTTCCACAGTTTTATAGGAAATCACCAGATCTTAGCTGAGTGGCTACTCAAAACACCTTGTCCTAAATCTAAAATACTGGTTGACACAATAGTCAAATGTAGATCATGCTCACAAAGTTCCTTTAAGACTTTGGTGCAAGAACAAGAACTCATTACTTTGTAGGCTTTCCAGTTCTCATCATGAATAAGTCCTTCTTGGTTTCCCTAAAAAAAGGTAAGGAACGGCATATATCTCACATGCTAAGATTACATATAATTTGTCATCGAAACCACTAACTTTTAAGAGTGAAGATGCTCTCTAAATTTACAAGGAAACCCCGAGAAAAGAGGGAAATATCTTTACCCTATTGTAAAGTGCTCTTTTCTAAAATAAAATATACACATCTCTTCAGAATGAAAAACAACCCTTGCTTCTGGCACACTCCCAGAAGCATGTCTGTGGATAATACTTGTAGCCAATGGTTTTTCCACTGATCTAAGTGAAATAATGTTACTGTGGGGGTGGGGAGACCTTATTTCCTATCTCTGTAAGATGTAGGCTTCTGATATTATCAAAAAAGAGCTGGTCATTTGGTAAATACATGACCTATTTGAACACCAAAGAGCCCTGGTGGCACAGTGAGTTAAGTGTTGGACTGCTAACCAAAAGGTCAGTGATTCAAACCCAACAGCTGCTCTGTGAGAGAAAATTAAGCAGTTTGCATCCATGAAAATTTACCACCTCAGAAACCCTATGGAGCAAGTCCATTCTGCCACATAGAGTAGCTATGCACTGAAATCAAATCAATAGCACTGAGTCTGGCTGGTTTATTTGAGCTCCAAACTTCGGCTACTAGAGAACTCTGCGACACATATAAAAAAAAATAAGCCATAACAGTTGTTTTCCTTTTGGTTTTTGCCTCCATTCCCTCCTTGCCCATCATGGGTGATATTAGTACTGGGTAGAGGGGGCAAAAGTGAGGAAGAAAGTGCACAGAGAGACAAAAACTTATAAAGAGACTGACATGGTGACATTTAACCTACTTAAACTTGTAACCTAAACTGAGCTATAGAAACTTTCCAGTTACATGAATGAATGAATGAATGAATGAATGAATACCACACTTCTATCAAGGCCATTCCGACTGACAGTGACTCTAGAGGACATGGTAGAACTGGCCCTGTGGGTTTCTGAGACTGTAACTCTTCACAAGAGTAGAAAGCCTCATCTTTCTCCTGCAGAGCAGCTCGTGGTTTCGAACTGCTGAACTTGTGTTTAGCAGCCCAACATGTAACAGCTTCTTTTGTAATATCCCTTATATATTAAATGGTCTAGTAAGCTACGCCACAAATACCTTATAATAGATATTATTTATGATGGCATTACCTTGATTAGTTTTGGGTTGTAAACTAATGAAGCAAAAACTTTTACAGTGTAGTTAGCCATGACAAACAAAAGTTTCTTTATGTAAAGATTTTAATACAAAATATTCATTGTAGATAAAATCAAGAACCATGACAGTAACACTGAGAAGGGAAATAAAGCCTTCACTTGAGCTAGAAAAGACAGTCTCAATAGTTCTGAAAGTCCACAATGAATATTTCAATCCGTGGCTATTACTATTGATTACCTCATAATTATAAATATAATGGTGAAGCTGTTTGTACCACTACCACTCAACAAAAATTTCCTATTTCTACTGAAATACCCACATGTCACAGACAATGCTACATCGTTGCAGGACTGACATAAAAGTAAATGTCAATAATTTCCCAACTTCACTCTCAGTTGATACGAGGCTCAGATCTTCGTGTCTTGCTAAATAATAGTAGCTTCTCGTTAACCTAAATTCTCTTATATAATTATCTGCCACGTGGCTCTTACTGTTATGTCTCTGTTTATTATGGGTTTTATTAGTTATGACTTTGGGGATCAGATCATTTCATTTTAAAGATGATGTGTAAATATGATACATTTTTATAGTTGAGTAAACTTAAACCTAAGAAACAATATGAACCAGAATTAAACTTAAACAAAACAAAACAAATACAGAAGATAATACCATTTCTTAATTCTCCAAAATTACCAACCTTTAGCAAACCACGGTTTTGAACCAATTCATACAGTTAGTTCCACGGTTCATTGAGAATTTGCTTTGCTGCTCCAAGCATATCAAGTCAGAGGCTATATTTTCACAAGCTACCTAAGTAACTGTTATGTATACAGCTACAGGCAACTCTAATAATCACTTCAGGATCTAATTAAAATATAAATTCTGGTTCAGTGTATCTAGGGTAAGAAAAGCAAATTCTAAGCGGGAGGTTATGACTTAATGAACCAGAATGAAGCCTTGGGACAAATATCTATAATCATGGTTTTAATATGAAATCACAATATATTCCTAAAAATTAGGCTGCTGATTTACATTTGCATCCACATAAAATACTTTCCTACTTAACTGTCTTCTCTCTTTTATTACATTCTCCAAATTTTCTATTATAAGCATGCATTATATATCCACAGCACGTTTCATAATAGAAATTCTTGAAGAGGTCACTTTTTAAAACAAAACCTCTCTACCTTAATCAACTAGTATTGAATGAGAATTAACCTACAACTTGCTTCCAACTAAAAGTGCTCTCCTCACTGTACTTCAACACATTCCATTTAAATATCACTTCTTTTTTATTGCTGCCTTGTACTATGGTGTAAACTGAGTGGAATCACCCACTAATTTTTACAACTGTCTCATAAAAACTCATTTCATCCCTTTAAGCTTTCAAATCTATTAAATGAAGAGTTTACATGAGACAATCGTTCAAGTTAGCTCTGGTTCTCTATAGACCATTATAAATTCAAAATAAATTTCAAGAGATATAAGCAGATAAAAAACAAAAAATAAATCGGCTGTGTTAGCAATTCTAATTCAGAGCAACCCAACAGAACAGAGTAGAATCTTAAGGCTTCTGACATTATGTCTTTAGGAGTTGACACTCATTTTTCTCCTACATAGCTGTGGAGTTTGAGCCTTGCATTCCCATCCTCCCATTGCTTAACCGACTGCACTACCTATGATTACTTTAAAGATGCAGATGACATACACCAGGGCTTTAAAATGTTCATTGAAAATTCTCATTTGTCTTTCAATTCCATTTTTCCATGTGCTTTTTGAAACTTCCTCACATAATTTATAAAATTACTAATATAAATATCTATTGGCTTGGTCATTCACATTATATCTATTTTACATATATATTTGTAACACAGGAGGGGCACTAGTGGTATAGGGATTACGCGCAGGGCTGTGATCCGCATGGTGGGCAGTTAGAGTTACAAGCAGTTCCTGGGCTTTCTACACCTGTAAACAGTTAGTCTTGGAAATCCAACAGGGAATCGCTATGCACCAGCACTGACTAGATGACAGAGAGTTTTGGGGGTTTTTTAATTTATAAATATACTAATATATAAGTAAAAAAGTATTGTTACTAGGTTCTGGTTAGGACATGCACGAGTTTATTCTAAGCTAAATATGTTTCAACATGCCTCTGTAATAAGCAGGTGTAATAAGTTGTCTTGTCTTACACTTATTAGTGCCATCAAAAACAGTCCAAATCAAAGAGTCACTTCTGGGCAGTCCTAGGGCAGTTACATTCAAGGCAGAGGTCAAGTCAGAAAACTACGGTGACTATTTTGGGGGACTCCGAAGGCTTAGTCTTAAAATATTTTCTCAAAGACTAAAGGATAATCATGGAGGTTTAATATGAAGAAACCCTAAGATAATAGAAATCTCCATTGTGATTAGAAAAAGATCCGGAGAGTTGGGTGGAAGATTTATTTTTCCAGTATGATAATGCTGGATAACACAGGATAGCCCTTGCTGTCCTATAAGAACTGTGTTGGGAAACTTATCCTATCCCCCAAAGTGTGACCTTGCCCCTTCAAGTTTCTTTTAATTCCCTAATTAACTGCCTGTTTGACATTGTATAAATTGACAACCACAAGAAGGGTTAAAAAAAATCCACCACTTTCAGAAGTGCAAAGATCTAGATAGAGAATATGTTGAGAAACGAATTTCACACTGTGAAGTTATTAGGTGTTTCCAACTCATAGACTCTATGCACAACAGGACAAAACGCTGTCCAGACCTGTGCCTTCCTCACATCATTATTATCTGGTTGCAGACACGGTGTCCATCCATCTCTTTAACAACCTTTTTTTTTTTCAGTGACCTTATACATTTAGCAAGCAATGCATCTTTTCCAGGGATTGGTCTCTTCTGATAGTATGTCCAGCGTACTTGAGATGAACATCCTCGCTTTTAAGGAGCCTCTGGTTGTATTTCTCCCATGGCAGATTTGTTTGCTCCTCTGGCAGTCCTTGTTACTCTCAAAATTCTTTGCAAACACCGTAATTCTGAAAATACTATGTCTAGGGTTAGACGCACCTTAGTCTTAAAAGTGACATTTTTGTTCTTCAACAATATTAAGAGATCTTGTACAGAAGATTTGTGGAATGTAAATCAGTGTTTGATTTCTTGGCTGCTGCTTCGATTACCACTGATTGTGAATCCAAGTAAAATGAAATCTGTGTTAGAGAGCATTATATACAAGAGCAATTAAATATTGAGAAAACATCCCATTCCAGTCCAGTTCAAGTCCATAAGTCCGATATTAGCCCTTATGTCTGATATCAATCTATAAATTTGTCTTCAGACTCACACAACATATTCAACGATGGGTTTCCCGTGGGTGGAAAGTCTTGTAGATCCAGTGGCAGTGGAAACATCTTAGCACTGGCATGGATCGCCACGTAGCTCCTCTTGCTCCCAGGGCTCTGGCTACATCAGCGTAGCTCCATCAGGCTCGTTGTCAGTAATGTCTCAATGGGATTGAGCATGTGTCCTGCCTCCAGCGAGCTATTTATCCCCTTAGCACCTCCAAAAGAGGTCATCAAGCTGCAACCTGATTGACAGGCTAACCTCCACCCCTTCACTCAAATCTCAAATTGACAACAGATTATTTAACAGACAACATCCTTAACTACACTTGGATCTTTTCTCCATTTATCATAGTGCTGTCTACTAGTCCCGTTGTGAGGATTTGGGTTTTCTTTTACACTGCATTAAAAAAAGCTGACGGCTGCAGTTCTCGATTTTCATTAGCAAGTGCTTCAAGTCCTCCTAACTTTCAGCAAGCAAGACTTTGTCATCTACATATCGCAGATTGTTAAGAAGCTTTCCTCCAATCCTAACGCTGTGTTCTTCTTCATACAGTCCACCTTCTCAGATTATTTGTACAGCATAGATTGAATAAGCCTGCTGAAAGATACAACCCTGATACACACTTTTCCTTATTTTAAACCATAAAGTGCTCCTTTGTTCTGTTCGTTAGCGTGCCTCTTGGTCTATGTACAAATTCCACATTAGCACAATGAAGTGTTCAGGAATTCCCATTCCCCTCAATGCTATTTAAGTCAGCTATGATAAACACCAGTAAGTGCCTTTGCATAGTCAATATAACAAAGCAAACTTTTTTCTGATATTCTTTGCTTTCAGCCAAGATCCATCTGATGTCACCATGATACCTTTTGTCATGGCCTCTTCTAAATGTTGACTGAATTTCTGGCAACTCCCTGCAGAGGTACTGCTGTAACCGTAATTGAGTTATCTTTAGTAATATGTTTTGCATGTATTATTAAGAATGTTTGATAATTTCTGCACTCTGTTGGGTCATTTATCTTTTGAATGGGCACAAATATGGATGTTTTCCAGTTGGTTTGTCAGGTCTTCCAAATTACTTGGCATTAAGGAGTGAGCACTTCAGTGCTTCATCAGCTGCTGTGAAGCATGGCTATTGATAGTCCATCAGTCCCTGGAGTCCTGCTTTTCACTACTGCTTTCAGTGCAGCTTGGTTTTCTTCCTTTAGGATCCTTGATTCATTGTATTATGGCTGAATGCCTTAAAAATGATTACATGTTAACCACTTCTTTGGGGTACCCTGGTTTTGTATTCCTTCGTCTTTTGATGTTTCCTTTATCATTAAATATTAAGTCCATCGAATCCTTCAATATCTCACTTAAAGGCTTAGATTTTTCCTTCAGTCCTTTCAGCTTGAGACATGCTGAACAGGCTCCTCCTTTTTGGCTTTGGATTTCCAGGTCTTGGCACATTTCGTTGTCGCACTTTGTCTTCCTATGCTGCCCTTTGGATTTTCCTGTTCAGCTCTTTTACTTCATCATGCCTTCATTTACTTTAGTCCATCTAATGTTCAAGAGCAAGTTTCAGAGTCTGACATCCACTTTGATGTCTCTGTCTTTTTTGTCTTTTTAATGAACTTTTGCTTTCTTCATGTATGATGCTGTGATGTCATCTCACAGCTAATCAGGTCTTCTGTAATTAATGTTCGATATATCAAATTTGTTCTTCAGATGTTCTTAAAATTCAAGTGGGATAAACCCACAGTTGCATTTTAGCTCTGATTGACTTTAAAATTTTCTTCAACTTTAACCTGAACTGATGGTCTGTACCACAGTCAGCTCCTGGCCTTACTTCTGTCTGCTAAGATTGAGCTTCTCTGTTATCTATTCCCAATAAAACCAAGTCGCTGCCATCGAGTTGATGCCAACTCATAGTAACCCAACAGGACAAGGTAAAATTGCCCCTTTGAGTTCCCAAGACTATTAGTTTTAACACCAGAAAGCCTGGTCTTTGTCCCACGGAATGAATGAACAAACTGCTGACCTGCAATTAGCAGCCCGACTTATAACCACTATGCCACCAGGGTTCCAGGACTATACCCACACAGATACAGTCAATTTGATTCTTGTATGTTCTTTCTGGTGAGGTCCATGTGTCTAGACACCAATTACATTGTTGAAGAAGGTATTTTCAATAAAGTCCTTGATCTTGCAAAATTTTATCATCTGATTTCCAAGCTTGTTTCTGTTACTCAGGCTGCTTTCTAACTACTGTTCCCTATCCTTTTTATCCAAGTTTCACATTCCAATTACCAATAATTATCAATGCATGTTGACTGCCTGTTTGATCAATTTTAGACTGAAAAAGTTGGTAGAATTCTTGAATATATTAATCACTAGCTTTATTGCTTGGTGTATAAATTTAAATAATAGCTGTATTAACTGGACTTCCTTGTAGGCTTATAGATATTATCCTGCTACAGATAGCAATGTACTATCAAACACATCTTAAAATGTTCTTTTTCACAATAAATGTGATGCCATTCCTCTTGAATTGTCATCGCATGATTGTCGGATTTTAAATGGCCAGTATCACTCTATTTCACACACTAAGCAGTAGGGGTATCGCTTTATATGCATTCCTTTTCATTTTTGGTGACTTCTGGTTTTCCTAGATTCATATTTTGTACATAGTAAGTTTCAATTATTAATGAATATTTGCATCTGTTTCCTCTCCTTTTCAGTTATCAGAAAATGAAGGTCCCAAAAGTTTTACTCCATCCTCATCATCATGGTCAACTCTAGTTTGCGGAGGCAATTCTCTGTCAGGTGTAATTTGAGTGCCTTCCGCCCTGAGGAGCTCATCTTCTGGCCCTGTGTCTAACAGGGTTCCACTAGTGCTATGCATTAGGTTTCAGAGGCTTGACCCTCAGGGGTGGACTGTTGATTTGATCATCAGTCTGTTATTATCGAGAAGCTCCACTGAAACTGGAATGAACTACGTGGCAGCAAACTGGGGGGTTTTTAGATGTTATATCATGATTTTAACTCTGCCTTCTAAATGGCCTATAGTCCAATAAGAACAGTACGTTTCAAATAGGAGCGCATGTATAATGTTAATATATAAGAGCATTTTAAAATTATAAAGTTCTTCATCAAAATATAAGCTATTATAGTAAACAGCTTCATCTCAATCTCAATTTTCTCTTACACATAAAGTATCAACTCATCTTACCTGATATTGATACCTTGTTTGTATATTTTACATGCATCAGAAGGCAGAATTCGGGAAAGTAAAGGCACTGCATTTTTAAAAAGAAAAAGTAAAAAATAACTACTAAAGTTCTGAGACATTCCAAATTTGCCAATTATAGGAACAGTAATATGTTATTTTACTAAATCACCAGAATTAAAATAATCTCCTTTAAGTGTTTTTCCAACTAAAGAATAATATATAAGGCAATTTACATAACTTCAAATGACTGTAATTTCTGCTTGGTTAAGTATATCTCGCTCCCTCCCACCATCAATACAGACCCAATAACAGTCTAAGTAAGAAAGGCTTGAGTCTTATCTGATACCTTAAATATAAAAAAAGCAATACATAAAAAAAGAAAAAGAGCACAATTTTTGAAGCTAGATAGTCATACTACAGGTCAAAAACCAAGTATGCGACTTAGTTTTACTTAAGTAAGTTTCTGTACCTCAATTTTTAAAATTCATAAAATTTTATAGTATTTACCTATTGATTTCTAAATTCCAATGGCACTGCATATAACTCATGTCCACTTCACAAGTTATATGCTAATAGTTTTTTTATCATTTATTGTCTTGTGTTTTATAGAAAATTATCTATTCCATGAATACATATGCATAGCACATTATAATAAGGTACCATGTATTTTTAAAATTTTTAAGATGTCACTTATACATGTATATGTGTACATGTCAGGTATGAGGGGGCTTCAAAAGTATGTATAAAATTGGAATTAAAAGATAATGGGATTTTACAGAAACATTCTGAAGTCTCTCATATATCTGACAAAATTCAGTTCTTTAAAAACTGATAAAAAATTAAGTTGTTAAAATAAAGACTTTAGAGAAAATTAAAGGCTAATTTCTGAGTTAAAATTCGTATAGAACAATGAAGCTCACAATCTTCCTCTAGTTCTTAAACGCTTCCTCCCCCCAACTACCAGGACCCCAGTTTCGCCTTGCAGACCTGGTTAGACCA